TATGGATATACTTAGGGTTACCATACGACTGGGATTTTCCTGAAAAGTCGGGATTTTTTTGCTGTAGTTTACTCCATAGTAAACTACAAAAATGAATAACAAATCTTCCTCCATAGCAAGATTTGTTATTTTAATTCTCCAGGAAAGTTACTCCTAGGAATATTATACACCGTGTTACTTTGCATTCTTGCCATATTCACAGAGATAAAAGTAGGGAACAATACCTATTATTTAAGATAAACAAGAGACTCCCATAAAGAAAGTACACTAAGATTTTAGTAAATTTGGTTTTTCAGTACAAATTGGAATAAACCCATTTTGTCTCGCACGTTCTACAGGTGCAAGTGGAATAAACCTAGAGGGCGTGGCCTAGTTCTTAATAATCTGTTGTTTTATGGCTCTGGGTACCAGACTTTTTATCCAGTCATAATAATTATTTTAAAATACTCTTCAGTTGATTTCAGATTTTCCTTTCTACTTTACGGGCTTAAGACCGTCAAAAATACGTAATAATTATTAGGGTTTCAATTAATTTTAACATTGTACCCTATTTTTACAAATTAATAAATTAAGTATGAAATGAAATCACCTTATTCACAATTAATTATTTATTTATAAGTTCCTACTTACAAAGTTTACGTACTGCGAAGCAAGTGTTCAAAGTGTCCTCCGTTCTGATGAAGGCACAGTCTAGCACGGCGAAGCGTAGGTTTTTCGCTTTAGTTTTCGCAACACATAAACGTTTTGTCTCACAGTTTCACTAAAACAATCCTTTCATGTAACGCGTTTACACTGTTTATCTCTTCTGCGCATACCAGTCGTTTCAAGTCACTCCAAAAATCCATTGGTGTCAGGTCCGAGGATCGTGGTGGCCAAGCTACTGGACCCCTCGTCCAATCCACTGTTCACCAAACGTATTATTCGCGCACTTGACGTCCTTATTGTGGGGGAGCACCATCCTGCTGGTAGTAGAGCATTTGGTGTAACGCTAAGGGTACGTCATCAAGCATTTCGTCTAAGACGTCTTGCAGACACTCCAAGCACCATTTTGATTAAATTATTCGTTGTTTGAATACACTTCAGTCATTTTTGTATTATTTATAACGTGATTTGTGATTGATGGATTTCTCAGTTTTTTACAAGTGTCAAAAAGACATTTTAAAGACAATAGATTGCAATAGATATTTAAAAATACAATAAAAAGTAAAAAAGTCTTCATCGCCATCGCCAACAAGTGATGTGCATGCGTTACGATAATTTAGTGATGTGTTTAACAGATTGTCGATAAAATAAAATACTCAAGATTAAAAAAAATTTTTTTCGGGCATTATTTTTTTACGGATTTGTGTTCAGTATCAGTAATATAGTAACCTCTGTAAATATGGCAAGAATGCAAAGTAACACCCTGTATTTTTGTCGTGGTCATCAAGCTAACATTTTTCTTCAGCAGCAGTATTCGAACCTCTTCTATAGTTGTCAGCTAAAAAACGAAACAGTTTTATGGCGTGCAGCGAATGCGGGACTATTCCCAACATTATCCAAAGTTTCAAATACTTTCAATCCTCTCACACAATGTTCAATGCTAAATGCCGACATAAGCGATAGTGACAAATAGACCCGAAATTGCGTGAACTGAGTTGGGAGTAACCCTGGGTCCGCGGGTCGTTGCTATCGCCAAATCAAGTAGCGTAAAAATTTGCTGAACTTGATGACGCAAACGGGCCGATGCCACCGCACAACTTGTTTCATTCTGCCACGGTTTTGAATATTTTCTAAAGTTTAATTGCGCCTGCGATGAATCTCTTCCAACGTTTATTTGAATACCTTTCACTGAGAGAGAAGTTTATACTTTTGCTACGCCCGACTCGACAATGCACAACATCGTTAATATCTACTTAACACTTTTAATGCTATTACGTCATCGATCGTCTTGCTATTCAAGTTGTAATAGACAATAATAATAAATAATTACTATCTAACACGCGTTTTCATATTTAACTCTAGCAAAGACACGATACACTCTTGCATGCTCATAAATAACATCCTACCAGCATCTGTAACGGGCGTTTAACCAATTTATTTCTTGTTTTTACATTTACCTAAATCTTTCAGTTAGTAATCGTTCTTAGAATTGTTACATCTTTCCAGATTGAATCAACAAGTGTTGATATATCGCTGGATTTCTTTTGACGGTTAACACACGACTTTATTATTTAAGGCTCGTATTAGGAAACTATTTAAACTCATACAAATCATTTGATGAAGTCACTGAGTTTCGTCCGTCTCTTCTCAACACCAGCCTATATGTTGTCCCGAAGTAGTGGTACCTAGGGCTAGCTTTATTGGGACGTACACTCAAAACACATAAGTGCCCTAAAAAGGCCTGCAGCTTACTAACTAATAATTTTAATTTGTGATTAGTTAATTCAATAATTAGACCTGACTACTCTTGAATGTAGAGCCGACTATTTCTTCTTCTTATTTTGTTTATGACTAGGTATCGGATATTACGGTGCCATAATATGACGATGGGATTCCGAAACGGTTGGGTTATTATTCGGCATCTGGTAGTTGCCAGATAATTCCACTGCTGACCTTACCCCCGGTTTCCAATTAACGTACAAGATTGAAGTTCAGTAATAACGAAATTAGATAATCCGTCGCCAGAGTCAATATTGATTGATTCGTGAGCCAAACGTAGACTAATCTAGACGAGTTTAGTTAATTTCTAACTTATTACTTGTTCAATGGAACGGGTTCAACGGGTTTTGGGGAAGCAATCACTGGTTCCGATTAAGGCTACTTAAATTGAAAACCTATATTGTGTATGTTATTTATGTTGTTTGAAATGTTGTATGATATTTAAAAATGTTCCTTTCCCTTAATCTTGTAACGACTTAGTCCTAAAACCAGACTGAAAAGCAAGGAATCATGAAAACTAGTCACTTCTTCACAAGTGAAAAATAATGTTCGAAATGACTTGTTTTGAAAAGCACCTGCCCAGCTTTCGTGATTACGTAATCGCTCTTTAACATCACCTGAATTCCCAAAATAGAAAGTTTTTCTTGAAAACATAACAGGCCCGCCAATCAAAAGTATCAGGAGGTATAATCCCTAAATACTTCGTATAAAAATATCTCACCATTTATATTCCGCACAAAGGCCGCCCTAGAATATAAAATATTCCATTCTTCGGAGTATTGTAGGTAAATAGTATACTCTATAGCTGATAAGATATTGTTCAAATGCTATTGAGATCTACTCCATCTTTCGATGGATGATAAGGTCGATATTATTGCTATGTTGATTGTGATGTCAATGCGGCAATTAGATTAGACATTGATTATTACAAATAGATTTCTTACTTATAAAATGACATTAAAAACGTTTCCCTTTGGCTTAAAACCATCTTAATTTTATTAGCAGTAATCCCAAGAACTGTTTAAAGGTAATATTTTATTCATTTGGTTATTCCTAGAACCAATAAGTACCATAATTATTGGTCATTAATATCTTTAAAGGCATTAACCTCCGTTTCAGAAATAAAATATCATGAAAGTACCTACATTCAATAAATCGTTGAGGCTAGGGAGAAAATTGTGTAGGCGGTTCGAAACACATTTTAGGGGAGATGCCGTTCCAACGGCGAACGTACAATAAATGAAGGAAAAAATGAAGAACAAATTACCCATCTGAATGGCTATTTACTCAGATCAAAATGTTACATCGATTTTATGCTTTGATTACTTTATTTTCAGGACGCCATTTTCAAAGACCGTTCGGACTTGATTATTAACTTTCCGCTATTCTCAAACCTGTTATAAACCTGATAAACCTGAAATTATTGTTAATACTCCATGGAACTGAAGACAAAGTAATAATTAACACCAGTTAAGAACTTTAATAAAAATACCACCAACTTGGGAAAACCAACTACATACCTAGTTAATACTAACGGGTACGCAAGAAAACTGACCCACAGAATAGAAGTGCGTGCCATGCCCACTTACTTAATGGAGCCTTCAGACTTCGAAGAAAACAATTATTTATGTACTTGTCCTGTTATTGGTATACCTCGTTAAATATCAGCGTCCTTCTAGTGGGCAAAGCCCTTTCTCATTGGAGCTGACCACTAAAACGTATGCCATTGTTTTCGACGCTGAGAAACTCGCACAATATGTAATTTACATAATTCTCATGAAGAGACAGATATTACGAATGTAAGTCCACTAATAGGGTTGACAGCCTACTTTGAAGTATTATTAAACTGGATTTAATATCACTATGTAATTAAAGCATCTGGATTGTGGTTGAGCACTGAATTAATGTCATTTCGGAGGGCTGCGTAATTACAAAACCGCATTTGTACAGCCCTGGCGTACTAAGTGAAATAAAAGTTAATGTTTCTACTGTGCTTGCTTCGTTAACTATTAAGTTAGGATGTGACTAACGAGTTTTCGGAGAATGTAGCTTGCGTATGACTCATCGGCCGGTCGAGGATCACCGCGTTATACATTTTGATAGGCTCGAATAACAAGGGTTTAATAACCCAATGACAGCTTTTAGAAGGATAAAATCTAGATGTATCCTCTGGTTGACAACAGATAGAGACTTTTATAGGATGGTAACAAATAAATTAATATTATTATATCTAAATGACGTGCAATGATAGGCAAAGAATCAGATGAAATTGCAATCGCAGAGCGACGCCCGATAGACAGATGATTTTATCACGTTGAATACCTACGATGTCTCAAAGAATGTGAATGATAGAGTACCGGAACCTATCGATTAAAACATTTATGTTTACCCAAGAACGGTGATAATCCTTTTTGATTGATTACACGCGTCATCGACCTGTGTTTATTTCCAGAAATTACCCCAACCAGAACAATGTTCACCTCTTTATTTATTTAGTACAGATTGATGAGATATTTATATGCGTGCGTGTATTGTACGAGTAAACGGATCGATAATACGATTTGTCTGTTCATTTGCAGGGAAAAATCTCTACAACAACGAGCATGTAGCCATCAAAATGGAGCCGATGAAGTCGAAGGCTCCGCAACTGCACCTGGAGTACCGATTCTACAAGTTGCTAGGCACGCACGGTGAGTTCCGCACTAATTATATGCCCACGCGATTGTAAGGCCTCGTAATGGACGCGCGGAGGCGTACAACAACGTTTTATCATGTCAATTATATGTCTCCATTTCCATTGCTGTTCTGTTGTACAAATTCTAAATATTGTATGTAATGAAAAGGATCCGGTATTAGCTACTGAGGACATGTAATATGCTGGTCCTCCGACCATCCTACCTTATTTCGTAACATACATCAATTTATCTCCAACGTCCTCCGGGAAATTGTATGCTAAAAATAAGTTTTCCTAAAAAAGCATTCTCGGCAAATCTTCATAGACCGTACACAAATTAGTTACTCGGGTACGCTTCGACCTAGCCTCCGCTACTCCATAAGCGAAACCTAAGAATATAGCTAGTAACGGTATAACGGTCGTGTAATCTTCGCGTTTTCCTAGGCGCGATCGAGGTCACTGGATTTGTCTCGACTATTGTGTTTTTAATTGTCTCAACGCAATGCCAATTATGACCAAAGGACCTCTGGGAGTTGTATGGTAATAAAGTACGGTTCCATTGAAGTCATTTTTATGGGGTCACGACAGGGTTCTCACATTGTCCTCACAACTTAAATCGTGGAAAAAATAAAAACGTACCCTGAATTGGAACTCAAGCCTTTGATTGGTTGAATTCACCATTTAAACTCATCTGTTCTTGAACGTTTTCATTGGTATACAAACCCAATAGTGCTCTACAAATGTCGCACTAAAGTTTGGGATCTTAAATGCCCGTGGCACAAAAGGAAGAACGATTAGTAAAATATATGGTCCATGTGACGCGGCACCTGAACGCACGTAACAAGCCCGCTACAAATCGCACGGGCACTGCTTTCATAAGCTGGTAATGAGGCAGATACTGTAATATCCAAAACGTTCGTGCGGAACACGTGTTTTATTGGCTTATGTCGTATCGTGCCCAGACGTTTCACGCTGACTGACGTACGACTATTTACCGTTGTCGGATGACGGTTCTCGTATACGATAACGAATGTCCTTATCGTTGATTGCATGAGCAAGAGCAATCTTACGCTGAACGGATTGTCTACGTGCAAATTGTGTGTGCACAATGATGAGAACCTTGTCGGGGAATCACTAAATTAAACAAATTAACAAACGTCACTCGCGGTATTATAATAAAGTAACTGTTTCATTTATAATGCCCACTAAATCTGAAGCTGCTGATAAAATACCAACGTTTACTTGCGTGCGTATTCTTTTGGAATCAGTTACTTTTATGGCTCGAAATATTTACCGGGCTTTTTATCGCGGTAGTGTTTTATCAGCAGTTTTAAAACCACGTAAATGTTATATGGTATGATGTAGGAACTAGCTAGAACAATGTCCTGATAAAATGTAAAAAACGTTTGATGTTAACGCCAATGACTTGAACTTGAAAGGAGCTCTTACTCTAGTAATGGGTAGAGCCAATAATTGCTGGTATCATGTACAGGTACTGTTTGGTTTTATTGCGGAAATGTTAATTTCTCAAAATACATTAAGTGAATTTCTTTCTAACATACTAGACTCGATTTCTTGAGGTGGATCGGCAGCGGTTTTCCTAAATTGCTCCATATTACTCCACTAATTCCACCGTATCCGTGCGTGACGTCATAATTGTCAAAATTGCCCTGAACGGAACAATTTAATTGTTCGAATATGAGCACCTTACAAGTTGAAAAGTTTGTTGCGTGATGTATAAATAGATACAATCAAATTGTGATAGAGCCCAATCTATTTATACGGTCACTGAGGGTCTCCGATTAAACACGCGCGGGCGCACGCGTGTCTGTATTGAAAAATTGAATGTAATAGGCATCGCTCCGTGCACCCGCGCAAGTTTCAGCGTAGACCCTGAGTGTATACTGATAGTAGCATTTGCCCAGAGGGCGTCCCAAAAGTTTACTACCTGGGGACATGTGGCGGCCGCTACAACGCTATGGTCATGGAGTTGTTAGGGCCCTCGCTCGAAGATCTCTTCGTCCATTGCGGCCGAAGGTTCAGGCTGAAGACGGTCCTTATGATCGCTATGCAACTTGTAAGTGCCAGTGACATAGTAGCTAATAGTACGGTTGTATAATTGGGCACAACACCGTAACCGATATTGAACTAATCTTTTGTTTCGCCGTGTCGAGGGTAACCGGCTAACCGCACCGTGGTCATGGTCGTTGTTCTGGCCGGCCATTGTAAATGCCAGCACTAGCCTCCGTATCTGTGCTCGATTCTAAATTGACTCGATTCTGAATTATCATCCTCGTACACTTTATGAGTTCATCGATTTTGGATATTCGCATTTCAATTGTGATGGTCAATTATGACGCAAAAAGTTAAAAGGTAGTTTGAGTGGATAAAACCGCAGAACCGAGCCCATTATCAATAAGCCACACAAATTATATCACCTCACCGCTTGATCGCCCGATACGGTGGCTACTGCATACTTTTTCTTCCACTTTTTCGACGTAGCAATGCTCTCGCGGGTCACTGTGTCATGAACTAGTTCAAATATCGGCTGCAGTGTTGTGCGGTGCAGGTGCGAGCGAGAGCAATGCTTGTCTTGTACTGTAAGTACTAAAATGTTTTTTGTCCCCCTCCCCCTCCCGTTCCTTGGTCCCTTGGGTCCCGTAGCGCCGTCGACCGCGGAGGGCATCCCTGAGGTTTACTACTTCGGGCCGTGCGGTAAATACAATGCGTTGGTGATGGAGCTCCTGGGGCCGTCTCTGGAGGACCTTTTCGATCTGTGCGGCCGTCGATTCTCTCTAAAGACTGTGTTAATGATCGCTATGCAGTTGGTAAGTGTCCTAGTTCTTTTAGTCCACTTTCACACTGGAGTTCTTTTTAATTTTTACAAAAAAGTTTTTTAATTTGAAAAATATCAACCTTGAACTTTGATAATTTAGTAGACTGTGAGAATGAACCTCTTTATTCAACTGACTCGTCATCAGACCTTGGTCTTTCCCTGATTGGTTTATCACGTTTATAAAGTAACTAACAATGAATGATCTTCCTCAAAGGCAGAATGTCTTGATGATGGCATAAACATTTTTAGTCTTCACAAATCACGCAGAATTCTAAATTAGGAAATAATTGTTCTGTCACGAAATCTATGACGTTGTGTGATAAAACTTAACATGATAACGGGCGTGAGTCACACTATTTTTGCTGCCCAATAAACTATCAAGATTTTTGAGTAATTTAAAGCCGCTATAAAACTTAATACAGTTAGAACGATTTAGAGGTAACAAGCGGCGCGTAACAAAAGGACTCATTGTCAATTGATTTCACAATCTTATCTCGTCCAATGCTAAAGTTCTTGTACTTTTGATGTATAATGTAGTATGAATGGACAAGTAATTATCATATTGTCACGTTCATGTATCAGTGACACGGAAGTATTGAATAATTTTATGGTGAATATTTAAATTTCATAATATGAAACATTGATGATTATTAAGTATGCCTTCCATGGTCGATATTAGAGTTACTTTAGCATTAATATGAATTGGTTTCTAATCGCAAAACCAATGCAAACCAATTGAGATGTTTACGTTCCGAGTACTAACATCGATATGCAAGGGCTTCTGCCGGTTGGAACAAGTAATAATTTATCCACTTATCACTGCTCGAGTATATCACAAACGCGGTTCGTACGTAAACGCCTAAAGGAGATAATTCATTGTTTTGTTGCTAGCTAGTCCATGTGATGTTTATCTACTGATCAAGACGTCACGATTTGTCAGTCAATGGCGATATTTGACTGTCTAGTTAGAACTCTTCAACAGGTAATCCCAGCTAGCCTTAGTTTTTTAAGGTGAACGCAACTCAATTTGTTCGCTCGCTATAGCATAAAAGTATGAGATAAAGTCACTGATAACTCGCTGGCAAAGGCCATACGTAAAAGAAAACAGCCCTAACTTTTGAACCAGGTTGAATATTAATTTTAATAGGTTCTCTGCGTTAGTTTAAGACAAGACCATAAAGTTCAAAATGGCGATCACTAACTGCCACTGCTTCCAAAGGTCCAGAGCAAAAAATCTCGGGTTCAAATCCCGGTATAGTCATCAGATCATTAAGAAAAATACCTTTTAGGAATTGGCTATCGTTTAAGTTTTCTAAGTAGGTAACATACTTATTCCTTGCTTCTAGCAACAATTTGTGTATTGCTTACATTATATTCTTAGATGACATCTTTAAACTACAAAGAAACTCCTTGATTGTAGTTAAACTGTACACTCGCGATATCCAGTTGCGATCACATTTACACATTAACCCCTGTCGTCCCACTTGACACATGCAATTGTATTGGATCACCGTGTAATTGCCCGCCCGCCTGTTTCAGCTCCACCGCATAGAGTATGTCCACACGAGACACCTAATATACCGGGACGTGAAGCCGGAGAATTTTTTAATAGGTAGAACTGCAACTAAAAGGGAAAAAATCATCCACATCATTGGTGAGTACATTTTTGTTTACAAGATTTTTGGCAGTTGACCAATGACGGTTTAACTTTCCTCTGGGATAAACTTGACCTTCACTGGTTGAGTTTTTATTGGCGGTCAAGCTGTAGATCCTGGCTACACAGGAGTTGTAGCGATGGGAACAGTCCCGTAACAAGCTTTTTTTGAAATCCGACAGTAGGACTGAAGGTGTCGGACTGGCCGACTCGTGATCAGAGAAACGCGAGTCCGATCCTCGCCGCCGCTCGACGCAACCCATATTGACACACAATCATATTTAGCTTACCAAGAGGGGTTACAGGACTATAAAATTGGTAGCACACTTCGACCATGAAACCTTGGCAGCGAAACCAATCGAAACACACAACTCCGTGTGTACATTGCCGCATTAGAAAACGTGGTAGAATGGACGCAGTGATGTGTATTGATTTAGTTTCGCTGTCATGGTTTTGCAGATAAAAAGGTGTATTTCTTGCCAAAAGCATAAATAGGAATTTTAAATCGCTAAACTTAAGACTTGCGGAAATAGGCTTTTAGGTTTTGATGTGCAAACTGTTATTTACTTTTAAAGACCTATCAAATTAAAATTTTCCATGTTTTCAAATTAAGTTTCCAACCTTAAGACAAACTAATAAAGGTGTTTAAGTGGTAACCGTGTCACTGTTAATAAATATGTGACTGTGTAAGAGTAAAATGGTCAGTCTTTTATGGTTTGATGATACTTTTTGCATACTCTCACATTTATAGCTTAAAACCACCTAACAACTGATGTATAAAATCTGAGTGAGTCATCAACAGTATAATATTTTTAGTTACGCCCAATAATAAGGAACCGGCTACAAACTAGTAGTTTGTACAAAATCATCAAGAATCAATTCCAAACTGGTTCTGTAATTAAGTTTAGTTACTTGACTGTTAACAGATGTTAACAATAACTTAAGTAATACAGTAATTAGATATAATTGTAACACTATCGCAACCCGGCGAGGTCTGCGGTTGAAATGTGGTACCAATGAAATGTCTATGTATGTTTATTTGTCCGTGAGACATACCTACGTGAATATTGATTCTAGTGGTAAGGGTAACGTATTTCGGTTTTGACGCCATCGTTATACAGGGTGTTAGGTAAATGGGTACATGAGTCGACACTAGCCCATCTTAACATAGGCATATAAACGGTATGGTGAAGTCAGAAAACTGATATCATCATTTTAATTACCTATATTAATTTTCACACAAGTCTGATTTTATAAATTTTATTTTGTACCTGTATAGTATGGTCACTTTTTCTTTCAATTAACTAAATAAGATTTTCTGACCCGACCACCCATTTAATATTGATCTCAATCCCATGTAATCTGACTGACATGGTCAGTAATGCTTAAAACGTTACTCATTTCTTACAATATTCTAACTGTAATATTATAATTTCTCTATTGGCTAACATAACTTTACCAACTGAGAAAACATATCAAACGGTTCTTACTTGAATAAACTGAAAAGGAATAACAATTTGAAACAGCATTTACATCTATCACCGTTGTTCGAAATTTCGCGTTGTCGCATTAATAATATTTTATGATTCTGTAACTCAGCTTATTAAGGAAGGCAATATAACTTTGAAATATGTATTAATATTCAATATGAAACTATCACCTCTAAATCTTCCTCACAATGCATATAAAGATTTATACTCATACTCAAATAGATATTAATAACTTGTGTTGTCTGTTTCAGATTTTGGTTTGGCCAAAGAATACATAGACTTAGAGACGAACAAACATATCCCATATCGGGAGCACAAGTCACTCACTGGGACTGCGAGATATATGTCAATAAATACACATTTAGGGAAAGGTAAGATTTTCAAAATTATACCCAGATTCCTTGAAAGGATGTCACAACCAAATACATAAGTACATAGCCCAATTAAGCCTCTAAAAGAATTGTACTCTCGATTTAGATATCCTAGGAGATACATTGTCAAGTAAGCCATCAGTCCGATTGACTGCTCAAAGGAGTAGACGCCTCATAATGTCTGACACTAGAGTTGTAACTTCAGTCGTTATAATTCAATAGTATAGCTATCTAACCCTTGAGGAAAGGAGCATACTGACCTGCTGTCATTGTAATCAGGCTAACCTTAAAATACATGATGTAAAAAATACGAATTATAGTCCCGTACAGATAGATGTTAACCATCACATTGTCCTTTCCAAAAGGACAAGGCATTCTTTATATTGTATTGTCAAAAGACTTATATAATTTGCCCGTTTAACATTTGTTTTTTCTTTTATTTTCCAGAACAATCTAGACGTGACGACCTAGAGGCTCTCGGCCATATGTTTATGTATTTTTTACGTGGTTCCTTACCCTGGCAGGGTTTAAAAGCTGATACACTCAAAGAAAGATACCAAAAAATTGGTGACACCAAGCGGGCGACACCGATCGAGGTGAGTTGACAGAAATATTTCTTTTATAAGGCTACTTATGGATCATTGGACTTCTTATAAATTTTCACTTAATTTCCCACAGCAAAACAAAAAACAAAAATACGTTAAAAAAATTGGCAAATTAAAAGCCAAAAACAACATGGCTATATTTTTAGTACACTAGACTGGCAGTGCCATATCTTTTATAACTGGACGCAGTGTAGTGTTCTTTTTCAACTGAGACGTCCATTTCTGGACCAAAGACTAAGAGTAGGCGCACACCGTTGATTTTTAGTTGGCCGATAGTTTAGTCGGGCTGTTGATCAGTATGGGCATGTATGGGAGTGCGCAAACTACGCCGATCCGATTTGGCCGATTCTTCATACAATTTGAAATCGGGCACAACTATCGGCCAACTAAAAATCAACGGTGTGCGCCTACTCTTAAGGCGGCGATTCGCCGCACTGAATGACGGGAGACCACGACCGTAGAAGCATCAGTTAGCGAGCGAGAGAGGCGGGAGACTGAGGCCTAAAGCTTCAACCACACCAAAGGCCAAGGATTGGTCGCGTGGACTGTCATGAATCGCGCGACCTGTCATTGGCCTATGATGGTGTAGTTGAAGCTTAAGAGCGCTTTCACATTAAGGCGTTAGAAGCGCGACAGCGGCGTTTTTATAATGTCAAGGCATGCATCCGCTGTCACATAATACTCAACATCAAATAAACCGCACCTTCTGCGACGCGAACTTTAACGATTTTCTTCTGACACAATCATGGTGCCCCAACAATATTGGTGTTATTTGAAAGCCCAATAAATATCCTTAAAGAAAAACACATTTAATTTCTTAATAAATGATTAACATATACCATAAATGTGACTTGAAAAAATACCTCACTTTGGGACCACCTATGGGATCAGTTAGACCAATTTTTATGGTTATAAAACCAAATAATGATCTCACGTGTCCTCTGTAATAGATGGATAGCGATTAATCCCGACTTAACACTATTTTTTGAAGAAGTTACTCTGGATCCTTCTCAAAAATGTGTCTTAATTTTTGGGGTAAAAACCTTTCCTTTAATGAAATAAAGGTTAGAACTAGGCTTTTAAATGGTGCCAATATTAGTGGGAAGTGGGGATGCATACGTTTGAAAATGCTTGTCGCGGGAGGTGCGATTTATTTGATGTCGAGTGTAGTATCAGGCCTGTTCATCTCCGCGAGTTTACATCGAAAACAAAACACGCACGATGGCCCACCTACAGGATACTATTCGACAAGGCCTTACATACGAGCGAACATTGACTCACGCACGCATATTCTTGTGTATGATGGAAGAAAATGAAGAAAATGGTGTACTAAATACTGTGCAGTATTTAACTGCCTAAATAATAATAAAAACACAGAATGTACTTTTTTAAGTTGCCTCAAGACACTGAGAGGTAAATAAGTAGTTAATATTATTCATGATAATTCATGCTAAATCATGTATTTCCTCCGCCATTTTGGCACCTCACGTCACATCATTTTACCGAAGTCAGCCCTATAGCTTCGGCGCAGTGCCGAACACTGACGTTTGTCAACAAAATGGTGCTTGACTCTTGAGACAGGCTAAATTACACCATATTGTTAATGACATTGAGCATACATTTTTTTAAATACCTTCGCGAAGTAAAACTTCTGTACGTAGTACTTATTATTATTCTGTGGTAGTATGAAATTTTCGGCAGCGCGTCTGTCACGCTGTTAAATCGCCTGAATGTGAAAGCGCTCTAAGTGAAGTAACGGTGGTGGTCTTCCGTCTCGGTATCTTGTCTCTTGCAAGCTTAATATCGAATGGTGGTGTGAATGTTATCAACTATACACTATTTTTATTATTACAAGCTTTTTACAAGCTTTTTACAAGCTTTATATTGACTTCACTTGTTAGTATGTGTGGGACAAATCTTGCATCTGAATTTAAGACCAGTTCTCCTCAACCGATTGAGCTGAAATTTGGTATACTTATGTAAGTACGATGACAATGCAATATTATGGTACCATTGAGCTGGTCTGATGATGGAGTCGGGAGGTGGCCATAGGAACTCCTAAACAAAACGGCGGAATCTCATCAAGTTTGGTTTCGTTGGATTTGTCTTTTCGAGCACTTTAGTGTTAGATAATGTCCAGGGTCCTGAGATTAAGATATAACTAAAAAGTGTAAAATAAAATTATAATAAAAATAAACTTTTTTAAAAACAAGCTTTTATTCTGAATTTCAAAAGCTTGTAGCGCAAACAGAGAAAAAGAGGAATAAATGCCATGCGCGATACAAGCTTTCGAAATTTAGAATGAAAGCTTGTTTTTAAAAAAGTTTATTTTTATTTAAACCCTGTTTGATTCGATTACGGCACGATTCCAGGTGTTATGCGAGGGCCACCCCGAGGAGTTGGCCACGTACCTCCGCTACGTGCGGCGGCTGGACTTTTTCGAGACGCCCGACTACGACCAGCTGCGGCGCATGTTCCGCGATCTTTTCGAGCGGCGCGGCTACGTCGACGACGGCGAGTTCGACTGGACCGGCAAGACGATGGTAAACAATTCCGTAGCTTAGCGCTAGGTGATTAGGTTCAGTTCGGTTTGAGCGCAATAGGTATATAGGTATTTTAGGTTGGATTCTGTTTGAGCGCAATAGAATAACAGATATAGTCTGGTCCGTGAGCACGTAGAATTTTGTCCAATGACCCCAAGCTACCCATCCTTATCGCTCGCGCGTAATTATATTGCTGTCGCGGCTGTGCGACGGGCGCCCGCAGTGAGTGTGCGAGCGCGATAGCAACATAATTACTCGCGAGCGATAAGGATGGGTAGCTTAGGGTCATTGGACAAAATTCTACGTGCTCACGGACCGGGCTTTATTTGCAGTTATTGAGTTTAGGACGCGAATAATAAAGTTCCGTTCAGTTTGACAGTATAAGAATGACTGAAATATTTACAATTCTGTAGCTTAGCGCTAGTGTGATTGCAACTGAATTTTTTTCAATTTTGGAGCTTAGCACAAGCATGACAAGACTCAATCTTGATTGAGGGCAACAAATGTGAATGCAACTAAAATATTTACAATTCTGGAGCTTCACGCAACTATTAAGGGGTTCCGTTCAGTTTTAGAGCAATGACAGATAATTTTGTAGCTTATCCCAGCAAATGAAAATTGTTTGGTACGCTAAGAATTCTACAGCTTAGCGTCTTGTGTAGGGCCACTTGAATGTCTGCCGATACAAATTCCTGTGTGTACTGAGCTGAAACAACATGGACTCAACATCTATGCCATAGAACATTATATGTAAATTCCATAGGAACCGTATTAATGTAACTACTAAATATTTGAAGTATTCCAATTTACAATATCTTGTATTTTTATCAAATGTATGTATTCTTACCGCTTTCTTCATTGCACCTTATTAATCTAACACAAGCATGCATTTTTATATGCTTTTGTAACAAACCTCACTAGATTTGGTTATTTTCCATTGATTGACTAAAATGGATACATCCCGTTTTCTAATAAGCCTTCTTGTAATGGACAAAATAACCAAATTGCTTTTTTATGTTAGTAATGATTGCAAAACAAATTAATAAACTGTTTTGTTTTAAAATATTTGATAGTTTGAATTTGAATTAAACTAAAATTATGTACAAAAACAAAATGTATATTAAGTTGTTTTGCAATCTGTCGTTTCTTTTTTTTGCAAGCTAGTGTTTGTGTTTCGCTTTCTTTTTTGCAAGCTAAATTTTGTGTGGAAGGCTTGTTTTATTGTTATTTCGCTAAAATGCTATTTCATTTATCTGTCTCAACTATATACCTTTTCTATGTCAATAATATTGTAGGTTGAAATACAAAGACGTGCCAAGCATCATTGCATTTCATCCGAATTTTGTGTTGTACAAATATTCAATTTTACTTTGAACAAACGATGAAGTAAACTATAAAAATATGTCACTTCTAACTTAAAAAAAGTGGATTACTGCTAACATTGTAAATATAGTTTAACTTTAGTGTTGCCATGTACAAGGGCATTAATACAAAGAAAGGCCGTGTATAATTTTATGTATCCAATCGATCGATTCAACGCCGAATTAGTTTGCTTTGCTATTTACGACACAAAGGTGAAGAATTGTTTGTTGACTAACGATCGTTCAAGGTGTGAGACCTTGAACTATTTTGTAAAAGCCTAAATTATCTAGGATAACTAATAGCTGCTTTGGTGCTTTATATAAGACGTATAACACGTGAAGAAGTAACCCATATTGACCTCAATTAATCAGCTAAAGTCTTTTGACTTTGAAATTCGTATTTAGAGACGTACGGTTTTCGGAAACTTTTCGACGATTATCAATACCGGTAACATGAATACCGATTGGATATTACTATCAGGTAGGTATACTCATATTTCGACTTAAGAAAGTTCCCCGATAACAGCACATCTCTATGCTAGAGTTTGTTAGTGACTAAAGTCCGGTCGCCGAGCACATATAATTTCGTCCAATGACCCCACAGCTTACACTCACCGCGGCCGCCCGTGGCATAGTCGCGATAGCAACAAATTACACGCGAGCGATAAGGATGGGTAGCTTGGGGTCATTGGACGAAATTCTATCTGCTCGGCGACCGGACTTTAGTGCGCGACACAAATTAGTTTTCTATTGTGTCTCGTAAGCTATGGATTAAACTATAAATGCTAAGTTTTTGCTAAATCTTAGCGAAGAAAGTTACCTAGTCGATATGCGTTAGTTTTTGACGGCTACTACATAATTTAAATATTACAACTTTAACTAGAATCACTAAACAAAGTTACACTGATTTCTAGTTCGGTATTTTTTTATTTAGACTGAAGTTTACCTTTTTATTTCACTTTTTTTCCAACTAACAACACTGACAGTTGTAACAATGGTTGTGAATTAGTTAATGAATTGTTAAAATTAGAATACCCTTAGATCTCATTAGTAGAAAATACATATTTATTATTTCTTTAATAAAGTAAAAATCCTTTAATGTGTGGTTTATTTGTAGATAGATTGAAAGCATAATTGTATAACTCATCAAGGTAAACGTGTGGTGCTTTATGTAAATGCAATAAAGGTGCTTTTTTGCAACAAAAATATATAGCCTAATTCATGTGAAACTAAATAAATTGCGATAGAAATAATGATGGATGAGTTACACAATTAGCAAGCTGGCTATTTTATGTTTGTGAAATGCACATATTGTTAGCTAAAACTTAAGTTACTAACGTGGACCTAATGAGGCGAAAATACTCATTGCAGGCTGTCAACATATTACATTTAATTTTTGTTGCGCTATCTTTTTTCACATAGTGGAATAAGTGTTTTGTTTCCGTTTAACACGAAAGAGTGGGATCACAGCGTAATAAAATTGCGCTGCAAGTATTTTGCGACATCTTCCTAAAACATAACAACTGCACTCTGACTACACTAGTGTTAATCAACCAATAAAAGATTTTCTCTCACAAGTTTTAACCATTTGAATGCCGTGGGTACATAATATGGGGCTAAGTAAAGTGTGGTCTCACATTTTATTACCTCCATATCCTTATTGAAGCATTATGATGTATCAATCAATAAAAAAAGTACATACAGATAGATAGAACACACAATTTATACAACACAAAAGACAAGAAAAGAAAAAAAAATACACAAAAGAGAAGGCACAATTTTGATATTATTTTTCACGATCACTCACACTTTAACCATTTGAATGCCGTGGTCCACAATTCCATATCTCTGACCAGAGTGGTCCCACTTATCACCATAGCTTTTGAAGCATGTCTGGTGGCGTTGTGTTGCATGCCGCATGCTTGGGCAGCCGGTCAACATTCACGTGATGCGAATCTTGCGCAACGCGCCGCCGTCAAATGTCGTCAGAAATAAGTCTGACAAGGTCAGTAAGGTTTGGATGTGAAATGAACCGGGAGACAGGTTTAGTGATGAGTTCCAAAAATAATATTGTAACCCTTTATGAGACTGTCGTGGCTGTTAAGGGGTTATGTTTGAATTTTTAACATTAAAAGAAAGACTTGGAAAGAATTTAGACAATAGAAATTTTATTGATCGAGACTCACCGGTAAGCTCCCGTGGCGTGTAACGTGTTAAATATTGGTTCATTTTATATTCAAAGACAAATTCAATCTTATAACAAATTCAAACTACCGCTTTATCTAGCGCTCTGCTTTTTACTATCACTTAGTTTTATGTTTCATTATGGCAATTATTGTCCAATATTACCTCACTATAAGTAAACCATTGCACATTTTACGCAAATAACCATAGCACTTATAAACATGTAATTTACCTTAGTTGACAATCAGAGAAGTAACAGCCCAAAAATAGTTAAAACTAGATTTATCAACCCAGGACTAGTCGTATTCCCACAATACTAGTTACGTTCATACCTTTTTAGTTACGTCATCATTGTAATTCGACCCATATTCGACATTAGGCTAAGTACACATTGATGCTTGAAATATTTCATAAATATTTGAAATTATAGATTTATATGATTTTTATTGCTCATTCCAGTCAACCCCTGTGGGCTCCATTCAAACGGGACACGAGATTGTCGTCTCTCCGAACCGTGACAGACATCAACCCTTCCATAAGGTATTAAAAAGTCATTATTTTTCGTAGATTTTAAGTTAGTTTATCATTAGGTATAGTGCCGATTGTACACTCTCGAAGAGAAAGGTCGCAAATCGATTAAGTTAAATCTTGACACCTTTAAAATCGGTAATGTAGCGAACAAATACTAAGACCGATTAAAGTTGACTGAATGGAATGGTTATTAATGTATAACCAATGAATTGACAAGCTTTTATGATATTTCAAATCTTGATTCATCTGAAAACCAATTTAGTAAAATGCCTCTTGTGATTACCTTTAATATAGGTGACATAATTTTTAAGTTCAAGATTATTTTTTGTGTACTTTATAATTTGTTTGAAAGATTACTGAATCGTTTACTCGCGAGAGTGTACATCCGGCTTAAGATAAAATGAATGAGGCTACATAAATTCATTAGAGTATGCCGTAAAAGCAATAGTTGATGTTTAACACATTTCAGTTTATGATTTTATACATTGTTACATGTAGTGACACTTTTTATTATAATTTTTTGAGACTAGCAGGTATATTCAAAACGCAGAACAAAAAAATACTGTCTAAAATTAATAACACAGTTATTTCATTACACTAATATTTAAATTCAAGTCAAGTGATCCGTACCTACTTACAATACGAAAACTTGACGTAATCGTCAGGTGAACTGACTATGTTTTTTTCGGTGCAGGATGATTTGTGTGATTATATAATTGGTTTGGTTGAGGACGATGAGGCGGCGCTAATTTCGGGAGAGGTTTGGGCCCCATTTCAAATATACCCTAGTTGTTTTCACTAGTTGACCTTGAGGTGCGATTCATACTGAGATGACTAGTGGACATTTCACGTTGCCTGCCGTTTCCATGCGGTAACAATTCTCTAGTTTAATTTTATACAATTATCTCTATTATTTACATAACAATGATTTTAATTAATGCTTCTCAACTTGTTTCCTAAAATAGCAGATTTTTCATGTTTCGATTGTCAATTACACAGCCAAACATCTAACGAAAATTTACTACTATCCCCACCACAATGAGGGCCATTGCTCATGAAGAAAATGACTAGTCATATCTGAATAACGTATGCATGAAGTTGCTAAAATATATTTCAATGACCAGATTTTTCTTTGGCATGAAACAGGCAGACAGCAGATTTAAAACTAGTTTTCGCAATATGAATCGACCCTTATATCGCCATGACTACCTCCGGCGATGATCCCATAGACTTTGTTCGGTAAATTGGTTTGCTAAATTTTCTATTTTAATTATTGAATAAAATAATGTTCGGTTTTAAACTTACATTACTATTACCGTTTTAGACTTTTTTTACTTTTTAATGAACATGACACGTTAAATTAAATTTTTAAATTTTAAAATATAAATGACAAGTTGTTTTTACAAGTCTTTTTAAAATCTTTTAGCTAGAATTTTAGCATTATTCGTAGTTGTAGATTTTTATCATAAAAACACATCTACATAATATGGTTTAGATTACATTTCAATACTTCAAATCAATCGTAAAATATCGCTTATTTGCTGACCAATTTATTGAAGATGTGTCGAGGGTGTTTCTCCATTATTGCCATTTATGTTACGTGGATGTAAATATGTATGTTGCATTTTCAAAAACCTAAATTACATTACAATACAAATGAGAATGGTCCAGGAACACCCCTTCAATTGTTTCTTTTGGACTCCCATAGATGGCATTTACCGTTCATTTGTTCATGGAGCTATGTACATACCTTGCAAGAGTGGCGCGTTGCTTTGCGCTTGTAGGGTGACCACGCTAGTCCCTAACCAGAGTTTGTGTGGATTTTTCGAGAATGCTTCTACCATCATGGTTTAGTACTACAGGTTGTGATATCATCTAAGATCGTTTTTTAACGCATTAGTGATTACTAAAAACTGTGTGAGAGCTCTACTAAAATCGTTTGCCGTTAGAATGTTTGGTACCAATCGTTAGAATTTGCACTTTTTTATTTTAACTAACGGCCAAAATTTTTAGACAAAAATCTACGAATTTATGTCCCATTGTATGGACTGATAAATGGAGCCATATCTCTAAAGAGTCCTTCAAATATAGTAAAGAAGAGTCCCCGTACTTAGATCTTGTCAGCCTGTAATACATGTCCGGTGTAATCTGAACAGTGCTTGAGTGTAAGTCCCTTATTCCTTTACCGAAATATGTATGAGGCATCAGTGTTTGTCGTTGTTTATTGTGATGTTGAATGTGGTATAGGCTCATTTGTACCAAGTTTTATTTAAAAAATGAGTAGTGTACTATTTTAAATACTATTCGTTACTTTTGGAGAGTATTTGTAGGTACTTAACCCTAAAATGGATATAGTGAATTCAAACTTCATTGAACCCAAAGACAAGTATCAGATGGGATCTATGTTCCCTTGGTATTAATATGTAGTTAACATTTAGATGCGACGTTGAACAAAATCATGATCTTGTAAAGATTAAATCGTATTGACTAAGAATAAAAACAGCAAGGAGTAGCTTTGTTGCCGATCTATTCTATTCTTACTTCACTCTCATTCACGCATGTGATCTTGTGAAGATTATCTGTATTGTTGGATCAAAAAAACAGCAAGGACTATCTTTTCCAAAACAATATTGCATCTCTATTCTACAGAGAGTACCTAGCTTTTTTACCACCGATCTATTCTATTCTATCACTTCACTGTCATTCGCAAGCATGCGATCTTGTGAAGATTATCTGTATTGTATCAAAAAATAAACAGCAAGGGCTATGTTTATTTTCAAAACAATATCACATCATATAAACAAAAAGGAGTACTTAGCTTAAAATAGAAATACATGAGTCTTAAGACTGAGTTACATATACTCACAGCTTGACGTTTCGGCTACTATGCTGCAGCCGTGGTCACAAGCAGACTTTCTATTTTAGTTTGAAATGGAACGCGAAAGTTTAAAATCTTGGAGTAGGTACTTAGCTTTTTCTCAAAACAATATTACATCTCTATTCTACAGCAAAGAGTAGCTTTTTTACCACCGATCTATTCTATTGCTTCACTATCAGATTATAAGCTATATTGGATCAAAAAATAAACAGAAAGAAGTAGCTTTTTTACCACCGATCTATTTTATTATTCTCTCAGATTATAAGCTATATTGGATCAAAAAATAAACAGAAAGAAGTAGCTTTTTTACCACCGATCTATTTTATTATTCTCTATCAGATTACAAGCTGTATTGGATCGAAAAATAAACAGAAAGAAGTAGCTTTTTTACCACCGATCTATTTTATTAGTCTCTCAGATTATAAGCTGTATTGGATCGAAAAATAAACAGAAAGAAGTAGCTTTTTTACCACCGATCTATTCTATTGCTTCACTCTCAGATTATAAGCTGTATTGGATCGAAAAATAAACAGAAAGAAGTAGCTTTTTTACCACCGATCTATTCTATTGCTTCACTCTCAGATTATAAGCTGTATTGGATCGAAAAATAAACAGAAAGAAGTAGCTTTTTTACCACCGATCTATTCTATTGCTTCACTCTCAGATTATAAGCTGTATTGGATCGAAAAATAAACAGAAAGAAGTAGCTTTTTTACCACCGATCTATTCTATTGCTTCACTCTCAGATTATAAGCTGTATTGGATCGAAAAATAAACAGAAAGAAGTAGCTTTTTTACCACCGATCTATTCTATTGCTTCACTCTCAGATTATAAGCTGTATTGGATCGAAAAATAAACAGAAAGAAGTAGCTTTTTTACCACCGATCTATTCTATTGCTTCACTCTCAGATTATAAGCTGTATTGGATCGAAAAATAAACAGAAAGAAGTAGCTTTTTTACCACCGATCTATTCTATTGCTTCACTCTCAGATTATAAGCTGTATTGGATCGAAAAATAAACAGAAAGAAGTAGCTTTTTTACCACCGATCTATTCTTTTGCTTCACTATCAGATTATAAGCTGTATTGGATCGAAAAATAAACAGAAAGAAGTAGCTTTTTTACCACCGATCTATTCTTTTGCTTCACTATCAGATTATAAGCTGTATTGGATCGAAAAATAAACAGAAAGAAGTAGCTTTTTTCTATTCTATTCTCACTTCATTCGCACCTTTCATTCTCAATCTATCGCGTGTTCAGGGCGCTGTGAAGGACTCGGGAACCGGCGGGACGGCCAACACGGGCAACTGGCCGCCCAGCGGGAAGGCCACGCCCCTCACCACCGGCCACCTCACCCCCGCGGATAGGCACGGATCCGTTCAGGTACTATCCACAAACTTTAACTTCTTCATCTTCTTTTCGTGTCGACAACAAACCTACACAGTGTCAGCCCAAAACTCCGCCACAAGAGTGGCGTTGTCAGTAGCACTCATCAAATCCTCCTGAGTGCAGTTGCTTGGGCACTCAGGGCATGACATCAGGTGCCTCAACGCCTGGGGAATAAAACCGCACCTGCACTCCATGTTCAAGCCATCCAAGAATCCCCACCTGGCCAGATTGTCCTTACTACGGCCAACCTGCGTCCGAAGTCTATTTAAAGACTTCCAGGTAAGCCAGGGGAGCTCATGTCCAGGTGGAGGACTCTCAGACATAGGGACAAAAGGGCAGGGGAGATCAGCTCTCTTAAACTTTAACTGCACTTCTTTTTCTCTTCTGAGTTATTTGCGGGTCCAATGACATCGACTTTTCATTGACACTTTTCTTGGCCTTCACTGGTTCGGTTTTTTCGGAGTTAAACTGTAAATCTTGACTACATGGGGTTCGCAGCAGTGGGAAAGAGAGATGGGAACGGTCTCCGAAGCGCATCTTTAGCTCTTTATTTTCTGATCATTCTTAGTGTTGGTCGTCATATCTAGGAATAGTTGTGAGTCCAACTTTCACCTGGGACGAACTTGGCCTTCACTGGTTGGGTTTTAAAGCTGTAGATCCTGGCTGCATTGGCGGTTGCAGCAGTGGGAACGAAGTGGGAATAGCCCCAAAAATCTATCTGTAGTAGGGTCTTAGGGACAAGCACTTCTTCCAGAAAACAATTGGATATAAATAAATTCTGGCTTTTTCAAATACCAAACTAATTTGTCTGTCAAATTATTCCCTTGATTTTCTTAATATTATCTTGTCAAATCCAATGAAATTCGTGTATTTAAAAGTTAAATATTTTATCTATTTATTTTTTGTATTATTTTGTACAGGTTTTAAAGTACTCCTTTGTTAAATCTAATATACTATATCTAAGATGGGCATCAAACTATGTGTTCAATATCGTTTCACATGTTTAGTAATATTTTAGATATCACATTATTCTGCTTGCCTTTGTAATCTGGTATTTATTTACAGTATTATTTACGCAGTTTATTTTGTCATTAATTGTGAATGTATATTGGTGTATTTATTTTTTAGCTGTTGAAGAATAAACATTTTCGGTATGTGAAATTTCCTGGATCCGTGTCAACGGTCAGTTTGATTTTTTTGGAGGCAAACGTGTGGTCTGCATGACGCTTACAACTTTGTGCTATTGACGTAACAATGCTTAATTACTAAGCACTGCCAAACTGCCAATATTCATTCATAAAACCCATTCAGAGCTAAATAGGCTAGGAAACAAGTTGATAGTCAACTCCCAAACCTATGAGCGTTTATACACAAGCATTGAGATTCAATTTTGCAATTAAAATTTTATTTTTTTTACCTTTGAATAATTCAAAAGTTGAATATAGTTCCCTATATTCTTATTGCCGTATTAAGGGTTAAAAAAAGTTATTTAAACCTTCACTCAATAGCTCGTGTGTAAAAGTCCAATGGTTGTGTGATTCGGCTTTCAGTTATTTTAGTAGAAAAATGTTACAAATACAATTTTCCACTATTGCAACTTATGCTATAATACAATAGTTGAATATATGGCTCGCTTAAAAGTCACAACGGAGAAGTAATTTACGGCATATTTGCGATTGGTCTAAATATTGAAATTTTAACCAATCAAATATCTCAATTTATGCTTGAATTGAGTTTTCAGCTTCGTTCACCTAAAGCATTCCAAAAACCACTGACAGCTTTTTTACGATTGCACCAATTCGATGTTTGTCTTACTTGTTGTTTAGTTTTATTGTTGCTTTTCACAATAATATTACGGACTAAAATAACATATTTTTTACTTTTCTGAGACACATCTTCATAAGGTTTCATCATGCATCTCCGATTCTTACAAATTGTATCCAGAAAAGTTTATTAATAATTACAGTAACATTTATAAACACGTAACATTCTTGAAGAGTGGCAACTGGACTTTAAAATATTTAAGTAGAGAGAAACACTTCTTTTCACGTCCTGGAGACATCTGATTGTAATAAATTTAAAAAAATCTAAACCAAATTAACCGTCCACTAAAACCGTATGTCACCTAAAGTGACAGGGACATTACAGATTAAATAATTTAACCTGACTCGGAAAAGCAAGTACTCATTTCAAGTCTTTGCATGCCGAGCAAAAATAGGTAGGCATTTATAATGTATGTAAAACCTTGCCTCTGAATTTGCAAATTGCCATTAAAGTCTCGATCCGGACGCAAAAGTTATTATTTATTTATTATTTAGTTCAAATGGCAATTTGATAATTCGGCCAAAAGTTAATGCTCCCTCAGGTGGTTCGTAAACTGACCACCCAACCCCAGTGGTTCGTAAACTGACCACCTAACCTCCAAAATGGTTCCCTCAATCTGACCTTACCCACAGGTGGTGAGTTCCACCAACGGAGAGCTGGGAGCGGACGACCCGACGGCGGGCCACAGCAACACGCCAATAACCCAGCCACACCACGAGGTCGACGTGGTAGACGACACCAAGTCAGTTTTCCAGCTGTACGGATACATTTTTATTTATTTTCCGCTTGCCGCAAGCTTTTTATTTGCATTTTTTTGATGTCGTGAGTTTTGGTGGTCGCTTGACGTTTAAAGCTCATATAGATGACCCACGCTGAACTGTCCAAACTCAATGACAGCGGGGCGCTACCATCGTTCAACTATATGGTTTCCAATATGGCAAAAATCGGAACCAGCGATCCGGAATTGACGGTGGCGCCCCGCTGTCAATGTCATGGATAGGACAGTTCAGCATTTTGGAACTATAGCAGACTTATCAACTCTGAAAGAGATCAACACCGTATGCCTTTCGCGAGCTGTCATCGCCTTTCGCCCGCTGTCAATCGCGAGGCGAGGCGTTTACGTTTCGGTGCGGATAAGTGTGCGTAGCAGTATGGAGTTTCGTACAAAGAATACTGACCACCTCGAGTTGATTGATACGATCCATTTCCGGCTTGATAAATTTGTGACGTCCTTAAATAACCAATTTTTATTATTTTTAGAACTGATTTTTCAATCATCGAATTTAACTGAAGAATAAAACTTATATTTTGAAAGTTTTTGTATGGAAATATGTCAATTTTATTTTACAGTTAAATCTGTGGATTGAAAAATCAGCCCTTTTCACCTCCGTACCTCAATAATGTTACACGCTCGTTGAAAACTAGGTAGTTTAAAGTGATCTAATAAAGAAGAAGTAATGGATTGTTATCTTAAACTAGTGTTCAACACGCGTGTAAGATTTTTGATAGTGAGAGGGATACATTTAAATATAAATTAGGGTAAACAGGGCCATTTCTTTAGTTATAACAATGACGAATTTTAAACCTCACTTCGCTCACTTGGCGTTCGCCAAATGTTCATTTTAAATTAAAATTAATGAAGATGCATTAACATCTTTACTACTTACTAATAAACTAAAATAATAACATTCAGTTCGCTTAATGCTTGCTTGATTTGCCTTTATTAAGTGATAATGCATTATTAACAAAACAATGTAATAAAAAATTACTCTATCGTGTCTAATTGACCGTTGTGCAAAGGTTTGTATCAAATAATTGTTCGTAATTTGAAACAAATTAGTAATTTAATTAAAATTGGATAGTAATAGATCACTAAAAAGTGAAGGTGATGAATTATTGGCTACAAAATAGCATCGTCGCAAAGTAAAAACGAAAACGTCACGAATCGAGTCGAGTCAATTAGAATCGTAAAAGTGAAAATGTATCATTACAATTTACCGATAATTGCAGATTTGAAATGTTACTGAAAATGTGTTTTAGAAACAAAAGAAGAACGGTCACGCCCCATACAAAAAAAACCCAGACCCGACAGAAACGAGACATACCTCAGTTTTTTTGTCATGTCTTAATTAGTTAAATTATATATTTTTTATATTCGAAATCCATGTATAACACCAAAATATTACCCTTTGTTTTTGTTTAGGCGTTATACAAAAACTAATACAAAATGCCTATTTATCACCAAAATTGGTAAATGTATGTACCTAAATGTCTATTACAGCTGCTATGGAATGTATCTAGGTGACCTGGAGATACAGCCGGATTATACAGGGTGGTTATACATATGGAACGATAAGTGATCTCACTCGATTATTTCTAAACTATACAAGATATCGAAAAACTAGTTACTGATTCTGAAAGTGCTTCACGAGCTCTTTCAAATGGTACCAATAATAGGTTACAGATTATGGAAGCTGGTAACATTGAATTTTTGGATTTTGTAACTTCTCGTTTCCACCCTGTATAATCCAGGCTGTATCTCCAGGTCACCTAGATACATTCAATAGCAGCTGTAATAGACATTTAGGTACATACATTTACCAATTTTAGTGATAAATAGGCATTTTGTATTAGTTTTTGTATAACGCCTAAACAAAAACAAAGGGTAATATTTTGGTGTTATACATGGATTTCGAATATAAAAAATATATAATTTAACTAATTAAGACATGACAAAAAAACTGAGGTATGTCTCGTTTCTGTCGGGCCTGGGTCACAGATGACCGTTCTTCTTTATGACCATATTTGTGCTCATATTTCTTTGCAAGATTTTTAAATATAAAAACCTAGTTGGGAAAACGTTATTTTAAAACTTGATAATATCGACTATCTCAGGACTGTCATTATTTTCTATGTTTTAAAATCATGTTTGGAATACATAGAATAATTGAATTAGCATTAGAAATGCAATAAAAAAAATGATAAATACCTATAGGTTTAGCGTTTAACTCAGTGCCGAAGCGGCACGGGAGGATGTTTTTGGGACGTCAAACGTCAGCGAGGTTTCAGATTTGTCACTGTCACGTCATAATATGTCAAAATCACCCCTCCCGTGCCGCTGCCATACCTCAGGCATTCACTGAGTTAGCGTTACACCTATAGGTTTTTAAATCTAAACAATTGGAAAAACATTACTTTGAAACTTTAAAAAATCGTCGTATCTCAGATGGGCCAGTTCACAGTACGAGTTTTAAAATCACGTTTAGGATATTATTTAGCGTTAGACAAACAGAACTAAGGCTGAGTTGCACCACCTAACATTGACGGTAACTTTAACGATAACCGGTGTTTTTTGTATGGAGTTTGACAGATTTATGACGTTTTGTTAAAGTAAAATGTTGCAACCCAGCCTTAGTTATGTATTAAGGCCTATTCAAACCTGAGCGATATTCGCTGCCGCTGTGGGTAGAGGTACATACCGCGCGGGTTTCGCTCAGGTATTTAGTATCAAGTACCGCGGCTTGAGCGTTTTCTCTGCCGCATACGGTAGCGAATACCGCTTAGGTCTGAACAGTATTATTACCGCATACCCACTGGGTTTTCTCTACCGCAGACGGTAGCGAATACCGCTTAGGTCTGAATAGGCCTTTACACTGAGCTTACCCAAGCAAAAAAGTAGCAACAACCATAACCTACACCATGGCAGACTCTGTAAATCGTCATGCAGACAATCCGTGTATTCCAGGTGTTGCTGTTTCTTCAAACGCAAAAAGAAGAAGTGCGCCGCGCGAGCGGGCAAGTGACGCGTGCGAGTCACGTGACCTCCGACCGCCCGCCCGCCCCGCGTCCGTGTGTGTTGATGTACCGACGGTTGCGATTCGAACAACCTTTTCTAGGCTAGATTACACTATAAAAGCTTATTCCACTATTTGACGGGGATTTTCAACGGGGAATAGTGAACTTTTTGTTCCCCGTTATATTAGGATTTTATTTTGAACGTAATGGTGATTAATTAACTTTTTAGTTCATTATTCCCCATTATAAGTTCCAATTTAACGTTAACGGGGAATAGTGAACAAAAAGTTCACTTATCCCCGTTGACGGGGATTGTCAACGGGGAATAGTGGAATAAGCCACTATAAAGTCCGGTAGCCGAGCACATACTATTTCGTCCAAAACCCCAAGCTGCTGCTTATCGCTCGCGCGTAAATTGCTAGTATACACGCCACGGTACCATATTAAGGCTGCGTTTCCACCAGAGATATGCGAGGATGCGTAGCGAGGGATGTGTATGTAAAGAACCAATTGAATCGCTTCATTTGCCGAGGCGAGGTAAATAAAGCGATTCTATTGGATCTTTACAAACATCCTTCGCTACGCATCCTCGCTCATCTCAAACGCAGCCTAATTTGGTATAAGGATAAATACACTATAACACTTCCGTCAAGTACCAGCGAATCGAAACTCAATAGAAATCAATTGTTACCGCGGTCTCGTGCGATCGCTCAGGGTTCGTAACAGCTATATTTTATAAACTCGAGTTCGAGAACTGTATTATAGACATGCCTGGATAAAATTATTTTTGTCCTGTGCCTAATTATATCGATTTTTCCGCCTCAAATCGATGAAATACTCAGATATAAATCGTGGCGCGTATCCTAGTTCTACTGATTTACATAAGCGGAATTCAGCTTCGAACGCAGAGCTCTGCATAATATTTTTTTAACCTTTTTCCCTTTTAACCGACTTCAAAAAGAAGGAGGTTCTCAATTCGGTTCCTTTTTTTTGGGATTTTGAAAACCAACTATTTCACAACACAGTGAAACAAAGTTGGATAATCATTCAATAGAATGACACTACAAGTGTCCGTTCTCTATAAGGTAATAAATTCAAACTTTAACGCGAGCAATAGAAATAATGACATCAGATAATAATTTTATGCAAACAACATTATAATGTGTTAAACTCAAAATTAGTACCTATTTATTTTGTTCTCTCTGTGGCGTGACTTGTGTTGAAATGAATTTATTAATTAATTCTTTCTGCTCGTTCCGGTAAAATACAATTTCCCTTTTCATAATAAAAACTAGTGGAAAACCATTGTTATGTATAAATATTTAAATGGTACAGGGATTTGTAATCGTGCTACATGGCGTGCGAGCTAAATACGCGACGTTACAACGCTGTTTTTTTATACAGTCCTAAACGTTCATTGATTATACATTTTTATAAGACAACTATGACAGAATATTCCATATAATCACCGATGTTCAGTTGTTGCTTATGTAAAAAAAATCCTCTTCGAAAAGTGTTGAAATTATTTATTTCGATCTCAAACTATTCTGCTATTAAGAGTACAACCATCTGTTTATCATAATATGGTTACTAAATTAGTCGCATAATTATAAATTTTAGGAAAAGATTGTTCGAATCGTCGGCAAGTTGTATTAGATAATTATTACATTCTCACGCAACTCTAGTGGCATGTTAAAAACGAATTCACGAAAACAATTTCAATATGTAACTTTGTCAGTTAATCGATCGACATTTCGTTTCGTTTGTCAAAGTTTCGTTCCCATTGTAAAAGTATGTCATGTTTATTTTGGGTTATGAATAACAATTTTAAAATAGTAGGTATTCTTTAATGATTTCATTGTAATCAGTTTTCTGTAAACTAACGCCCTTATTCATAACATTTGAACTATTTAATGCTCTACCACTTTTTGTCAAATGTTGATTTTACTGTGATAAAAAAGAGACAACACCGTGCTTCAGTTAAAACAGCGTTAAGTCAGATTTTTTATGAATAAGGGTGTTAGTACTTTATCCACAATACTCCTGTAAAATGCCACTCAAAAATAATTTCCCTTTGCATTCTCTCCATGAACGGCTAAATAATATTTCACACGGAATACTGGTTCTGAAAATCCTTATCTTCTTTCTGCATCTAGAACTTCAAAAATATTGTATACGCGGTAAGGATGAGTAATTGTGTGATTTTCAGTCTTGCGATTCTACACCTTACGTAAATAAAATGAAGCAATAACTTAAATAAAGCATGAAAAACACTTGTACGCTATTATCGTCTTTATGCTAATGAAACACGGTCTATAATGGCACGGTTCTTTATTATGCAAAGCGAGTCAGGCTTGCCGATAATGGACTAGATTGACGCAACCTGCGAGCTACCACATTCGATCCATTTCGAACTGTTGTTGTTACTATTGAGTTTGTAATAGTTAAATAATAGTAATTCTCAACAGGTTGCCTTACTGAACCATAGTTATCTTGACAATCGAATTCAGAGCCACTATTCGAAGTGAGCGACGTCAATTATTTGTTACACGTTCATAAAGTTTACCCAGTTTTACGTTATAACATACCCCATGAGATTTCAAATGTGACATGACAGTTTAAATGTACTTATTAGTGAAAAATAATGCTTATTAGAGCAGAAAGAAGCTGTAAGTAGGCCGGGTGCGGTCGGCGGGACGTCTGCTTGTTTTCCCGTCCGTAGTTACGTTTCGTCGTCAGGAGATAGCTGACGTGTGGACGCGAGACCTCTTACCTCATAGCATCCCGCTCGCATCGAATGTCCATTCCAGCACATAGATTCGAACAAATCGACAGATTTGTACATTAGAACACTACATTAATCATACAGCCGTAGTTTTAAAAACAAATACTTAGTAGTCGTGTATTGCTTTATCCCCCAATATAGTGACGCCGTTTAATATTATTTTTGTACGTCTCGTTCATTTATTATTATCTGTGAATGCGTTGTAATTCAATTTTTTTGTTACATAAGTAATGAATTACCATAACATAATATGGCGACTTTGTAATAAGTTTGTGTGTTGTTGAACTTTACTTCGTCCGCGGCCCGTTGGACATTGCGAGCGGAGGAGTCGGGATTACTTTGTACTAAACAGGTTGTGATATAACACATTTAGATCTTCGTAAGCACTGCAGCCTAGTTATACGCAAATTATACGACGACGTGTATACAGGGATATTATAAGTTGACTTTTAGGGCAGCTCAAGTAAAGTGCTTGATATTATCAACAGTATAAAAGGCTTTTACATGTTAGACAAGCTTAGCAAGGCTGCTCAGTGCAGTGGGGCATTCGATGAACGTTTCCGTTCGCAGTGTTCAACGAGCCGATTGTATGCATATTTCTAGGTTTTAACTTTATTTAGTCATTCTAATAAGTTCAATTTGTGCGACAAAGAAGTATGATAATTATTATTTAATTGGCTCCGTTCCTATAGTGATGCCACTTACTTTACTGTCTTTATTTATGCCTATATAATTATAGTTTAATAAATGAGAAAACAACAGGCAATAAGTAAACAAATTATGTAAAGCGTTTCTTTCTGGTGCGCGCCTCGTTAATATCAGTACGGTCGTGAAAGATTCGTCGAAAGTTTTAATTAAATGTTATAATTAACGTGCAATAATTTATGTAGACATTCATTACAAAAGTGTAAAAATTGGTTTCGATCGGTGTATCCCATCGAGTCCCGAGTGAACTGACTTTTACTACAAGACTGAAAGAGACATTTCACCTTGTACAAACGACCTGGCTTCGGGCTCATGTCAATTGAACATACTGCGCTTTCATTTCGTGGTAGTCTTATGAGGGAGATATATCATTTTGGATAGATCGTTGTTGAGATGGTACGACACGGTACACGGAGCGTAGTCATTCCGTAGGGAGGGCAGCCATTGCTGTTAGTGGGACTGCGAAGACTGAACGTCGTAATCGGTGTCTCCCGCCGCTGCGGACATGGCATTCAAACGAACCATTTGCGAACACCATTTTAATTAGTATAGCCACTTGTCATGGTCCCCGCATCGAGCGGACGCTACGTTGATGGTGTATAAATTGTACAGCTTAGAAACACATTTGTATATTTTTGCTTGGACCGGCGGCATGGATTCGACAAGCGTGATTTGTGTAGAGGTAAGATTTGTAGGTGTCATGATGATCAGCGTGTAGCACTGTTTTTCGCGCTCGACTGATCACTTTGGCATATTTATAAGGTTCTTTGGATAGTCACGGATATTGTAGTCATCACAAAATTGTATCCAGCATTAGAATTTATTGATATTCATTTCGGCTAAGTATGTTTGAAGTGTTTTATAACATAAAAGAACATCTTGTTGTGTCGTTTTCATATTTTTAGAGAAGTTAGATAATGCGAATATTGTCAATATGTAAAATGAAGTTTTTAAAAATCGATTCCTAATGAATGATGTTTTTTGATAAGTGAACAAATCGAAGTATTCTCCTCGTTAAATGGATCGTTAATACTATTGTACAATCATTGCAGTATAATCGAATGTAATAAACATAAGTCTTAAAACATGATTAATACCATAGTTGTACCTAATTGTTACTTTCTATTTGCTAGATAGAATAATCAAATTAGATTGGGTAACGAGAAAAAGTCAAATTGTGTGATCTATAACCGCGAACGAGTCATTGGCCGCGTGTGGGAGAGAGATAGAGTTGCTGCGTCGCCGCGTGTGGGAGAGAGACGGTTGTTGCGTGCGAGCAACGCAGTTGTAAATTTGCGCATCAGACATCGGCTTGTACAAACATTGTAATTCTATAGATAAGTTCAATCACAATAAAATTAACTTTCTTGCACTGTTATAATTTCATACTTCAACTAAAATGACCATTGCGATTATTTATTTCTTCATCAATCGTAGGAAGGTAAGCAGGAGCGGCGCTCGCTCCGGTCTAGTTAATTTAAATTATAATTTTAAATTTCGCTTACTAAGTAAGTCATGTTCAGTCGGATGGCTTGTGGACGCACGAGGAAGGTTTTGAACTGTAGTTTATTAACTATGTATTATAATACATGATGATGCTTTTGGAAACTGAATTTTATTGTAAGTATAAAAATAAATATTAATATTCATAGAAACAGTTCTCAGTGTTTATTTTTTTCTGTAAGATGTATGGTTAAAATTTGCATACGCAATTTGACTTGTATTCGGTTAATAAGGTCACAACCTGTTCAAAAATACGAAAATATTGTTAACTCATAATTAAATAAAGCTTATTATAAGAAAATCGTTTTATTTTTTATTGTAACTGCCCTTTACTTGATGTTGTTACACCAAAGATACACAAATTACATTATGAGCAGTATATTTACGAGATGAGAGTGCTTTACACTTTTTTTTCACTTTACACCATAATTTCTTGCTAAACTATCTTGAGACATGCTAAGGCAATGCTTTCTTAAAATATTGGAAAATGGGTTAATTGAAAGACAAATATTCCATACACAGTTTATTCGAACTAGCTTTCCAATCCATATTCAAAGTTCCGAAGACAACGGCCTGAAGCAAATTCCTAAGTAATATGTGTGAAAGGAACAAGAACTAATAAATCTATGGAATACTTAACAGAACTAGCTAACACTGAAGACAGTGCAGACTTATACATAATTGCACCAAGTAGTAACACGAAAATGCTTAAAAAATAACTTAATCTAGATTGCGTAACAAAGCATGATCTGTAAAAATTATTATATTATTTTATCAGACAATATATTAATTTTGAAGTCTCAAATAAATACTTAACAACTTTCATTCCTAAACCTGACATTTTAATATCAAACGCCGCTCAAAATAATACTTAACCTAAATATATAAAATCATTCATCACGGTTTCCAATAATATAATAAAACTCGTTTCTTAAAATAAAAGGCGCTACTCCATATAGGAGTAGATGCATCCACAGGCTAAAATGAAGGAATAATTTCATCGTAACTAATGACAGTCATTTGTAAAATAATAATAAAATATTCATCTGAAAAGAAGATTTAACAAGAAAAGATATAGAAATAAAAAATATAGAAATCTGTGCTACTAAGGAATTTAGAACTCGTTCAGAGTGCCGTTGACTACGAAGCTCTTGACTTCGGTGATGTTTCGCGTGTCATAGTCTGAGATCTCCTCAATGACGATGTCCTCGTTTTTGACCGGTATTGGCGGGAACACGTCGAGCAATTCGCCGAGTTTTCTGCCGGTCGATATGATGGTATTCGTGAGGAGATTGTTTTCGATGTTGAGCGCGTCGTCCTCTGGTCTCATTTTGGACTCGGCTTTGTACACGTTTTCGTAGTTTTCCTCCTTGACGATCGGCGGCAGGTAGTCCCTGCCGTCCTCGTAGTCGAACTCGAGCTTTTTCATGCGTTTCTTGAGGTTGGGGGGCCAGTCTTCGTCTATGGGCAGGTCGACGTAGCCCCCCGGTGCCTTGGGGGCCTCCAGCGTCTTGACAACTTGGTAGTCGTGGTCGGAGTGTGGGCGGTTGAATGTGATCAGCTCTTCCATGTTGAATTCGCCGTCGTCGATGACGGTCTCATCCAAGGCATTCTCTGTGAAATAAATAAAAAAAAATTTTTAATTTATTGAAAGGCAACATACACTTAGTTATGTAACAATATTCGTACACTTATGAAGTTTCCAAGTACGAGTAAAATACGAGAGGTTAAAACGTCTGAGAAAGATTGTGCTAAATTTCGTGAAAGACGTTACATAATAAAAAATATTACAGATAAAAATACGTTTGAGGTTATCAGTTACAAAAATATAATTCGTAGTGTAGTAGGTATATTATCTCTATTATATTAAAATGATTACTAAAATGTCGATTATTGTATAGATTTCTCGCGAAAATAGGGTCGACGGTCTACATTTAAATAATGATAATGTTTAATTGATTGCAACTTCTGACGAGATCAGCCATAATCACGACTATAATTAGTTTTATTTACCAACTCTCTTCGTTCAAGATAAGTACCCAACTAAAATTCGGCTTACATAACTGGACAGTGTGAAGTCATGCATTTCGCGAGTTAGCGATGCTCTCAACTCGGATGTTATGAAAGCGACTTTTTGTCGATTTGTTGCAGTAATTTTTTTGCTGAAGCCTGATAAAAGTGTATTACTTTCATCAAAAATCGCGTGACGACAGATTTTTTATGAATCTCAATGTGAAACCAATTTCATTGCGTTACTCAACATGAGTCCGATTTCGTGAGACGGTGAGTCATTCGTTTAGTGAATCAACACATTTTCCGCCATTATCCTGATCGTATCGTCTACTATTTGAAAGCAATGCGATGCGACACAATCGCAAAAAAAGAAACGCGATAAAACCTACTTATCAGAATTAGATAGTGATAATATTAAAGGGCAACGCATTTCATTGTTCTGTGACGCCGATAAGGAAATAATTTAGGGAAAGTTCATTTAACATTATTTTACTTTTTAGAAGTTTCAAAGGTATATGCTAGCGAATAAGACGCAGAATAGATTGAACTTTCAACGTTTACGTCTGTTACTCGAAAAAAGTACATTTCTTGATTTCTTCAATTTAAGAACTTAAATCCATGCTGTTGTCATATTTAAGCGCAGGACGACAGCGCCACCACTGCCACGGATAGAAGAACTAGCAGGCACGAAGGTAGACCAAGAATACTCATTCTAACTAATGCACGCACGTGTATTCTTTACCAATTTGCATTGTAAAGACAATAAAAATATGTATGATGGAAAGTAAAAAAAAACGGTGGTGTAATACTGTGCAGTATTTAACTGCTTGAATAATAATATGTAGAAACACAAAATATAATTCATGCTTATTCATGTATTTCCTCCGCCATTTTCCGCAGTTTGGCACCTCACAGGTCACACATCATTTTACCGAAGTCAGCCCTATGGCTTCGGCGCAGTACCGATCACTGACGTTTGTCAACAAAATGGTGCTCGACTCTTGAGACAAGCTAAATTACACCAGTTAACGACATTGAGCATACTTTTTTTTAAATACCTTCGCGAGGAAAATCTTCTGTACGAAGTACTTATTATTGTTCTGTGGTAAAACTAGCAAGCATGAGGGTAGAACAATAAGAATACTCACTGTTGGCGGCGAGCAGAGCGCGTGTGAGCGCGGGCGCGGCGGACGGCTGGTCGTTGCGCGGGCGCATCTCTTCGCGCATAGACGGCAGCGCTACTAGCGCCACGGATAGCAGCAGAACTAGCAGGCATGTGGCCGGCTGAGCGGACTTGCCGGTGGAACCGCCGGTTACGCCGGTGAGGACGTTCTGGGGGGAAACGGGATAGTTAATTACGGTTAAAAATGCATTTATTTTCTGGTTGTATCTTATAAAAAGCACATTTACACAAATTATTTCTTAGGCTGAATTGCACCACCTAACTTTGACCGTAACTACAACAACAACCTGTGTATTTTGTATGTATTTTGACAGACTTTTGACGTTTGTTAAAGTCAAAGTAAGATGGTGCAACCCAGCCTTAGTGTCCCTAGACAAGTTACAAAACATGAGTTTTAATTTGGAAATGGTTCACGGAGCGAAGTAACTACAAAAAATCAGCGGAGCGAAACGATTTCGGAATTACAACTGTCAGGTTTTATAACGTGTCTAGGGGACAACAGTGTCTGGAGATTGATTCCTGACGATTAAGTTCGTATTCCTATTAATTGTCAGTTTTGTGATGTGTGCAATAAGAAGTATCTTACATACAATGAAGTACATAGGTCCTTTGTAAGGCACTTTCAGATAAGTGTGAGCCAGGTAGGTGGAATCCATATTGTCATTTACATTTATCATTCATTTTATGTCAGACAATATAAAATTTAACATAATTACACAGTTTTATTACAGTGTAAACATATTTTTCATTTGCTTAAACTGACTCATTATACTTTACTAATACCCAACAACAACTTAAGTAAAAAAAAAAGTCTTTTGAACATAATAAGAAGTGTATTTTCTTAAATACCTATGTAATTATTACTTATCACTTACAAAAGCGTGACCTTTCATGAAGGAGAGTGCTGTAAAACGTTTTAATCGTATTTTCAATGCATATTAAACACCTAGCAACGATACGATATTTTGTAGCACATTGCCTACATAATTTCTTATCACATTTCTGTCTTAAAGGTCGAATAAATATTGCTTGATAAGAAATACGCATGCCGGCTCTAATTCTACGCAAATATCAGTCTTAAATTAGACTTTATAGAATTGCAATAGAGTTGCTATTTGTACGTTTCTAGCGTGTTTACCAAATCGTAAGTAAGGTATTATAATTCAAGGCATGCGTGTTAACGATATCGTTTAATTAATTTGCAAGTTATAGGCTAGCGAATTTACAACGGCACTTTTTACAAGACAATTTAATTGAAATATAACGTCATGGTTTTAGCTGTATAACTCTAGCAACTATATCAAAAACATTATTATAACAGTAATTTAAGCAAGCCAATACAGGGTGAAAGTTGATAATGTGCCTGGTTTAAAAAGTTCTGGGTTTATTTTATACTTTTAAAAAAAGTTTTTTTTTTCTGGTATAAGATTTGATAAACCAAGCATATTTGAAAAATTCAGCCTATTACCAGGGAAATAGCAGACGACAGTAAATAAAATTAAGTAAGTATACGTAAAGTTATCAAGTCTTCGTGTAAAAAACATTCAACAGTTTAATTTCTCATTAAATTGGTTCATTTGTCATAATTATGGATAGATTCAAAACGCCTATCAAGGAGTTAATTTACTGTCGTCTCCGCCCTTGTGTATACAATGATTTAAATGAAAAGCAGGTGGCCTTACCCCAACTATGTGGTTTGGGCCAAACTGCAGCGTGCGGGTCCGTGAATGCAATGTTAGTAGGAAAAAACAATTTTATTCCAGTGTTAGTTCAATGCCATTGATAATAGAGCAATATACAGAGTGACTGGAGAAGCGTTGAAAGTTAAACTTAAACAAATATTTTCTTGTGATGTTAAAAATGTAGTTTTACAATGTTTTTGTCAATATTGCTGACTACATAGCGTATTAAATATGATAAATGCTTGATATTATTGTTTGAAACATCTTAAATGTCAAAAATGAATTGCACTATTCAAACTTTTTGTCAAAATGACTATAAAACACTAAACATTCTAAAACTCGAAAAAATCTTAGATCACGCGAATTAGATACCAACATAAATAATCGTTCAAGCTTTGAACGTCATTGCTCCAGCCACACTGTATATTCTTTTAGCCTAGCTTTGTGCTTTCATGAAAAATACACACACCCTGTATTAGTAACGTACCTGTAATCTCTTGAGTTGGGCTGTCAGAGACTGGTTCTGCGACTGTAGAATCTTTATCCTCCTGATTAGAGTCTGGTTGTCCGCTGTACATTGTTTTACTCTGCAACAATTAGTATGAAATAATTAGATAAGTAGGTAGTTGTTATACATACATTAAATTTTATAAAGGTAAATCATTAATTTAAATATGTAATAATATCCATTATGTGTGTAAACTCAAGTGCCAGGAGTCCTTAATTTTGCAATTATTAAATTTTATTTGAAATACCAATTAAATTTTTAGATTATTAATGGAAAAAAGTGCATTTAATTTAATTATAGGGTACCTATCGTTATCAATTCATTGGTTTGTCTCCTTTAGTATAGATAGGATTAAAGGCATTTTAAAAACAACTTTCAATAAGGAACAAGACATCTTTTTTTTTTTCAAACTTTGCTAAGACAATAATTTGAAAGACTTCAGTGTTTTTCGACCTTATGTCGAGCCAATAAGGTTTGCAATGGCTTATTAGCAAAACGTTTCTAGGGTTTAATGAAGTAGACAGTCAAATAATAATATTCACCACGTGGATCCATTTAACATTTAGAACATGGTAATTAAATCGATTATTGGGCCTTGAGACTTCGTCTAAACCTGTATTTTTCACATTTTTTTTATTTATTGACGCAAAAGAATTAGGTTAGGTAAAGGAAAATACATATTGGCATTGAGACATATTGTGATGTGATTAGATTTTTTCGCTGTTGATCTAATTTGGTTTTTGAATTAAAAAATAATTAGAAAGACGCAAAAGACTATGTACTTAGTAGTGATGGGCCGACTATCAATGGTCTTTGCCGACTAACCGACTAGCCGACTAATCGGTTTTCAAATTGCATAGTCGTCACTAGTCGGCCGACTACAAATGATGCCGAATAGTCGGCTTTCCCGACTAGTCGGCGACTAGTCGGCCCATCTCTAGTGCTTAGAAAGAAGTGGCAAGCGTGATATCAGGGAAATCTTTGCTCTTGAGACACGTTTTTCTTGCCACAGCGACCTTCACTCATTCCACAAGCAAAGTGCATTATGCACCGACTACTGCTACTCGAGTTTTACTATTCTGCAGGTTATGTCGCATAGTTCGTGACACCCAAAGAGCCCAAAACCAACCTTATTCCAATTGTAACAAAGACGTGTTGCGAACTTTTTGACTACTTCAGATGTCACGAACATTTGACGTATACAATACAATAGTTTTATACAAAAAAGGAAAATTACCTATCCTCAAGCCCGTCGACGTATTCCTTCTTGCGTTTCCTGGAGTCCTGAGCAGAGATTTTATTCCTAATCTTGCGCCTGATCCTCTTGAGTTCCCTCTCCTCATGCTTGGTCAGAGGATAGCTGGTCGGCAGCGATATGCCCTCCTTCGCCAACAGTCGCCTCTCCTCGGCGGTTAGAACGAGACGGGGATACCCGTTCTTTCCGTCGTTGATCTGGCTGTCCTTGTCATCGTCTTCCTCGCTCCTCTCGCTGCCTGAGTCATCTAAAAGTTATATTTGCGATGAGGAAAACCTTCAAGTTAATATTATTATTGTTGGGTTACATTGTGGGATTTCTGGTGATATAGGAATTTGTGGTTTGTTTGTTTATCTCAAAATCAAAGTTTAAGAAAGTGTTACATAGGTAGGAATTGATAAAATTCACCGTCGACATCATAATACATAATTAAAGATGCTTAAAATATAAAATAATAGGAGATATACTTCTATGCATTACATACATTTTGAAATCGAAATAAAAGATAAATGTTTCTAAGCTATTCTTAATAAATAGCCCAAATATGCTCAAATGTTTTGATAATAATTGTTTTAATTTTCAACAAAATGTGATAACTTGAATCACATTAAAGATGTTATGATAAACATTTAAAAGTAATTTACAATACATATATCTTGGGAATTCCTATGTACCCGGTAATTGTCATATTATTTTTCTCCACAGATTAAATCAATATCTATCATAAAATCTGAAAAAATAATTCTCAGTATCAGAAGTTCTTTATAGTATGTATAGGAAAACAGATAGCGAAATGCGCAGTATAGTATAGTTTAACGTACTACTTAGTAATATCGCGTAGTATGCCAAGAACACGTGGTGTTTGTCACGTTCCGTGCGCCGGCATCGCGAATTTGTGATAGCCACGCTAAACCGGCCCGGCAACCAGTTTTATGTAGAAAACCATCAATTTTGAAGGAACTCGCTATTAATTTACATAAGAGTTACGAAATAAATTGATTTGTAGGCGATAACCATTCTGTGGTATGAAACGAAAGGCTCGGGCCTAAATTCGGGCAATTGCGACCAATCAAAGCGCGGGGTGAATGAAACTTTGATGCTTACAATACGATGTTTAGAGACTATAAATGCCATTTAAGGCGATTAGAGTCCTCAATGACCTTGGGCGTTTGACCTTCACGCCGCGAGCAACACCCGCGTACCCCGCACCAAAAACTCCGATTTGACACCGATCAAAAATACACGGGCATAGGTAGATACAGAATAGAAGCTCTTTCTTCATACATTACTGCCTATTATTTTAAACTTAAATTGATGAACCTTGATGTCGGTCTCATTTAACTCAGGCGTAAAGGTATTTAATAAAAATAACAAAATCCATGAACATTTTGTACGGGATAAAATTTTATTTTATTTTTCGTAAATTTTCTAATGCTTTTGTCGGTTCAGTCGTTCTCGAAATTTGAACAAACCCGACTTTATTACAAGCTTTTATTTAGCTTGCAATTTATGATGTATGTAGGTAATTACATAAATGTTTGTTCGGGTGGAATCTTGCAAGCTGAATTAGTTGCAAGCTGAATTAGTTAGACCAACTTCCTGACGACAACTAGGCTAGATGACAAATCTGACTGCACGTACTCTATGAACAATTCTGACATAAAATCTATTGTCGAACAAAAGCTGGGTTGCACCATCTTACTTCAACTTTGACAAGCGTCAAAAGTCTGTCTAACTCCATACAAAAAACACCGGTTATCGCCAAAGCTACGGTCAAAGTTAGGTCACGTCAGGTGGTGCAACTTAGCCAAAGAAAAAATTCATTTTGATCGCTAATGTCAGTTTGTAGCGAGTGACACAACCTCCCCGTCTGAAGGCCAGCGGCCGACTGCCGCCCGCACCCCGCGAAGGCCCCCTCAACAGCAAAACGTTCGGAATTTATCAAAAGTAAAATTTATGAATGAAAGTAATGTTCGATTGAAAAACGCAACGTGTCATTTAAAGATTAAAGAATTCCCAATCTATTCGTGCAAAAATCTTTTAAATTAACATAGCCGTTTTGGAGGAGTAGGGAATTTAAGTAAAAAATCGATGTCCCGTATTTATTTTTTTAATCCAAAACAAAGAGACGTAGCGAAAATTCAAACGTCACAAATGTAGTCCTTGAACTGTTGTATAACATATATTTTTTTCAACTATTTCTGTCCAGCAGTAAAAGAGGAGTAGGCTTTACAAAATGCCCATTTGGCGCGGATTGAGGACACTAATCGCCTTAATGAAGAATAGGCTAGACTCAAATAAAACCTTTGAAACAAATCACGCAGCGAATCTTGTGTGAACAGTATTTAAGTTAAAATTATCCTTGTTGTGATCCGAATTTGAACAGGAAATTTAACCCATGAATATAATGTAGTGTCAGTCAGATAATTCATTTACAAATAAATATCCCGTTTACCTAAGTATTCTATTTAAAACAATGTTGAAATTGATACTGCCTCACTCACACCGTAAAATACTAATTTTAATTTGAATGCATGGCATATTATAACACATTTAATATGATTCGTCATAGAAACAAAAATCTTCGTGAACAAACTAAAAAACTCACCGCAATTATTGCCTCCGTGGTCGTATTCATAGTCGCTCCTGGATTCAACTTTGATGTCCTGCATTTTGCTCTGCGACAGCAGATTGGCCGCTGCCAGTTTGATGTTCGACGCATTCTTGAGATCCGCTGCGTTGATGATCTTAATGGACTTCAGGTCTTTCATGTCCTTGATGGTGACAGGGAGAAGGATCGACCGAGGGTTGCCCGCCATTGGTGCTACGCGAATAACCCTTCGTTGAGGAGCTACAGTCTCCACCGGTTTCGAGTACACCTTGGTCTGCGGATTCAGGACTTGGATGTTGGCAACCTTCAAGGGTTTCTGCGGTTGGGCCTTCACAACCAGTTGAGGTTTCTGGACGGTGCTCGCGGCTACTTTTACTGAGGGTTTTTGAACTTTCGGTTGAACGACCACTTGAGGTGTTTGGGAGAGGCGGCGCTTGCGACCGGTTTTGCCTACGGACAAACAACATGTTTAGTGCTTTGCGACTTACACAATTTAGGCTCTATTGTGTTTGTAGACGAATCAACAGATAAAATAAAAATAAGTTTTTTAAGTAAATTGCTTCTATCAGCAGCTTCATCTGCGTGGATTTTAGTCTATCCCATCAAAATCGGTAACCGTTTCTCAAATTGGACAAAACAAAAATAGGCAATGAAATAATGAACATTGAAGGTATTACCGCGAAAGCCATAATCAACATCACAGGATTCGAACCTACAGTAACTAGGAATGTGGCATTCCGGTAGTAGACAGTCGTCAAGTAAAATCAAGAACTAATAAATCGACATAACACATAACATAACATTAGTAGCGTCCTATTTGAAGGCGATAGACTTGATAAGATAAAACATTAAAATAATCTTTATAATGCTGTTTATTTGTAACATTAAGTCCGTTTTTAAGTTATAACATACAAAAACGTGATCATTAAAAATACCAAGTTACAATATCATGCTTTTTTTCGTTTGGCGACATGTTGAAATAGTTATTCCATTTCATTTATTCATTGAATATTTACTCAATTGTTACTTATAAATGATTCACTGTAGATTCAAATTCGAAGGCCACATATTCAATACTGATAACAATTTAGATAAATAATTCGATAATGAGTCGTGCTCGTTTAATAAAAGTTATTTCGAAGGTTTACAATACTGTTTACTTGACTCGCTCCCATTTCTTTTCGATTACGAAATAGCGGACGCTAACTCAATTAGAAGTTTCAAGTTACATAAGCCAGTTGTAATTATTTCAAGTGTCTTCATAATCCGATTTTGACGACGTCAGAACTGACATTGTATTATGCTGTTGAACACTGGTTATTTAAGGTTATTAGCTAATTGCGGTGTTATTTAACAATGCCATTTACGAGGAATAGCGTACCTTACTGTAATCAATATACGAAATACATTGACACCATTATCATTATAAGAAAAAAAAATGGTAGAACAGGATATTATTAGCTGTATGATAGATGATGGAACTCACAGAGCTTGTGTACGCATTTCCAGGTTTTGTTTTCCTTATTTGTAACGGACTTTAGTCATATGACATCTTTTTTTGATTGCAAAGTAAAGTGATGTTAAGAATGCTGTGTCCGTTCAATCTTTGTTCGAGTCTTTTACAGTGTGTATAAAAAAACAGCTCCTATTACCACGGACACGTGCTACACCAACGCATAGGCTCTAGGCCAAGGTGAATCTTGATCCCCACCACAGAAGTCTGGGTAAAACCAGGCCTGTTCATCTCCGCGAGTTTACATCGAAAACAAAACACGTACGATGGCCCACCTACAGGATACTATTCGACAAGGCCTCACATACGAGCGAACATTTACTCACGCACGCGCGTATTCTTGTGTATGATGGAAGAAAATAAAGAAAATGGTGCACTAAATACTGTGCAGTATTTAACTGCCTAAATAATAATAAAAACACAGAATGTACTTTTTTAAGTTGCCTCAAAACACTGAGAGGTAAATAAGTAGTTAATATTATTCATGATAATTCATGCTAAATCATGTATTTCCTCCGCCATTTTCCGCAGTTTGGCACCTCACGTCACATCATTTTACCGAAGTCAGCTCTATAGCTTCGGCGCAGTGCCGATCACTGACGTTTGTCAACAAAATCGTGCTTGACTCTTGAGACAGGCTAAATTACACCACATTGTTAATGACATTGAGCATACATTTTTTTAAATACCTTCGCGAAGTAAAACTTCTGTACGTAGTACTTATTATTATTCTGTGGTAAAACGTTCTTTGTATTAGGTCTATCTGTCTCTATCGCAAATACCTGCATCTCGCTTTGAGTGAAAGGGATGGTGTGATCCGAATTTCCGTAAACGGCGTTTGTAGCCCTGCCGGTTCTCACCGAAAGCTATTCAAAGGCTGGAAATTCCAAAACAACATACCCGAGCTGTGGAATGTAGTGTTGATGAATCCCGGGACCACGTTCTGCTCAAAGTCCGCCATGTCAAACGCTTCTTCCACCACCTCTGAAGAACTGTTCGACGCGTCGCTGGTGTCTTGGATGACGACATCCTGGGCGTTCCCTGGACTGGTAGGCTCGAGGCCCGAGGTGGAGCCCTGGTCTTCATCGCACGAGTTCTGGATCAGGAATGGCGAGAGCTGCTGTTCGAAGTCGCTGGAAAGAAATTGACTGTTAGAGTATGATCAATATGATCATTGGTCTCAATAATATTGGATGTATAAGCAGAATGTAATAGTTTGAGTCCACTTTATTTGTTATGAAATTCAAATTCTTGTTGGTATACAAAGATTCTTACATAATAGACAGACAGATACAGCAAAAGAACTTAGGTCGACCTATTTAGATGAACAATCATAGAAGTACATAAAAACCCGCATCTCAGAATACATAAACCTACTAACATAAATGTATATTGGTTTATGCAACATATTTGTTGTTATATCTATGCCGGTCAATATAAATGCCATAGATTATGTAAGTAACACAAGCAATTGAAGATATTTGATGCACCACATCGTAAAACAGTCGCAACAAAAGCATTTCGCATGCGAATCGAAATTCTATCGATTCTAAAACATATCTGCCGAAGGTTTACAACTAATCAAGCGTCTTTAAAATGGGTATCAGTAACTTATTGACCACTTATTGTTCATTTGTTGTGGAGAAATGTCTGAATTGAATCGGAACGCATTGTTTGAACGGGTCTTGGGGCGATCCGCACCACTTATCGGTCGTACTCCGGTTTAAAGTGTTCTTTATCAGACAATAACAAGTATCATTATCGAAAATAAAGGATTTTTTTATTAATTTTTTTCGTCGACAGTTGTGTGGTTTGCACATTAAAAGCACGGGCTGTTTACATGGTGTGCCATGTTTTGAACCATACCCGTGGAAAAATCCAACCAAACTCGTTTACCGTTTCCACGAAGTTGTAAAAAGAAATCAACTTCTATACTTTCATAGTAGTAACAGTATTAGTGAGTAATAATATAAACTTGGAAGTCTGTAATGATGGATGGATGTTGGCAAGTCCTTCACGCAAAAACTGTTGGACAGATTTTGGTGAAACTACAATCTTTTATCAATATTAAATATGTATCATATCGCAGCCTTAAAGCTAGTTTCCTACACAATTTTATGAATACTTACATCATGCACGGGTTTTTAAGGTTTACAATTTAGCATACTGTTTCTGGGGATGTATTCTTGAAGCATTCGAATTCCAATACGCTTACGAATCTGCCTGCACCCGCTTCGTATGCGATATGGAATTCTTTCGCTTCAAAAATACAAAGTGCTCTTTAAACAATAACCTCTTGTGCATGTTTGTGCTTTCCACGGTTTCCATACTGACGTTGCAGTTCTGTTATTGTTATCTGCTTTGTATTGATTAAAAGGATTGTATAAGTTGATTCAATTCAATGTAGAGCGCTCCCTTGTGGGACGGATTACAATATTTACAATAGTGTACCGTGTTGTGCATTAAGTTTATTTAAATCTCGATGACGTTTGATGGTTCTTGATGAGAAACAACAGACAAAAGATAATTTGATGAATGCAACAAAAGAAAACTCAAACTCCCCTATACAGTTTTTAATTTGAATCCTATTATCACTCGCATTGGAAACAAACAACCAACAATAACGGCGCATGCAACGGTCATGTTAACAACTCTAAAATCCATATCTGCCAAGGACAGACCTGTCAATCCATCGGCAGGGCTACCTGTGTTTTGTAGACACGATACGTACCTGACGTAGGTCTAGCTAGGGTTATTGCCAGGCGTCCGGATAAAGCCGGACATAGTTAGCACGCATCAGGACGTTGCGCGTTAGGCAACCGATGAAGATAGTTCTCACTCGCGAGCTCACTAATTGCACCCCCCCTCGTCATATGTCCGATTTTTAGGGTAAAATGTCCGGCCAAATGAAGCACAGGTCCGGCTTTTGTGTTTATGGACCTGGCAACCCTATGTCTACCAGTGGCTGAGCTATGGGAGCGTCACGGGGGTGGTTTTGTAACGTCAAACGTCAGCGAGACTTTATGCTCGGTCACGTCATCATAATCACCCCTCCCGTGCTAGACCTTTATAGGTCTAGCACGCAATTATTTGCGCAAGCAATCAAAATATTGGTCAAAATAATTTAGATTTCGAGAAGACAAGAATCTCCGAAATATCTTTTGAAGTATCGTTAAAGTAATTTCTATTATCGTTAAAGTAGAATACATCTTACAGCCTCAAATTAAAACCCATACTTTCCAACTGGACGCGGGTGTGTATAATACTTTATTCATTGATTCTTACACAAAGACCGGTCTTCAGTCTGCCTTTAAAATGTACCGTTGTTGCTTCGTGACTTACATTACATTAAATCTGATCGATCAACCCATTGATAACCAAACAAAAGACAACAAAAATGATGCGCACTTTCATCGCGAACATTTCTTTATTTGTTTTAGATATACTGTTATATTTTAGAGTTCTGTAAAAGTTTACAATCTAATTCAGAGATAGGTATGCTAATTGCTAACACAATTTGAAATGTGGTACAAAAATGCAGTTTTGTGGCCCAAAGAAAGATGTAAATGGATACAGCTCATTACATAGTATTTAAAGGAAAACTATAGCTATAGTATTAGTAACAAGTAGATAGTATACTACGATGTGACCCATTGGTAAGTGATCAAACGAAAAGGATAGATTCTAATGTGCAAACTTTCCTACAGGAAAATTATCCAAATTCTCAAAAAACAAAAAAAAACCGATGTCCCCATAATGAGTGAATACTGAATAGAATTTGTATGAATTTAAAAGGTCAGCATTTTCTTTAAGATTTGAATGTCTTTTTCTTGGGAAAATGGTTGCATTTGAGCAGTAGAATCAATCCTTTTTGACCAATGAGTCACACTGTAAAAAATGTGATACGAAACCCTACATCTACTTGAGGTAAACTCGCACTTAACCGGTTTTAACACTGCTAGTTCTGCAACACAGTGCGCTGCAGACAAAAAAGATGTTTTAACTTGACCTGATTGCACTAAATATTTTAACATCGCTCCGAACCGGCGGGTGCGACCATTTCTCTAATTATGTACCTGACTATGTAGTTCATTGCAATCGTGTCAGCTATTATAGTGACGCTATTTATAGCTAAGGGAGACTGTTTATATTCTCTTTAATGAGTTTAGCATTGTCCGTCTGTAGACAATCAAAGTACTACGGGCACTTAAACTAAACTCGGTGACAACTTATGTGATGGCAATAAGACCTATTTTGAAATAAAAAATGTGTAGTTTGATGTCATGTCACAGAGTACAAAGGCCTGAGATAAAATTGTCGTCGACACGGACAAGGTATGAATAATAAAATCACATAATCATAAAATAAGTCCGCTTATATCTCTTTTACAACTGAAATGCAACTAAAATAGCCATAGCGCTCACCTAGGCATAATTTTATTCAGGTCAATCGATACAGATAATAACGAATGCATTGTCTATGAATAGACTAGAAAGCCAAACGTAATGACATTGCATTTCCATAGAAGTTCTAGCGCATATCTCAGTCAGTACCTGAGGTATGGGAGCAGGGCTTATTCCACTATTCCCCGTTGACAATCCCCGTTAACAGAGATTAGTGAACTTTTTGTTCACTAATCCCCGTTAACGCCAATAGGAGCTTATAATGGGGAATAATGAACTAAAAAGTTCCTTAATCCCCATTACGTTAAAAATAAAATCCTAATATAACAGGGATTAATGAACTTTTTGAATGAATAAGCCGGGAGCGGCACAGGAGGGGCGATTTTGACATAATATTATGACGTGACAGAGTATACAAATCTGAAGTCTTGACATTTGACGTAACAATTAAAACACACTGCCATGCCGCTCCCAGCTTCCTCACCTCAGGCACTGACTGAGTTATACTGTGGTTAAACGCTAGATCTACAGGGTGTTAGGTAAATGGGTATATTAGCCGACACTAGCCCATGTTAACATGGTCATATAAATGGTATGGTTCAGACAGAAATTTGATATCATCATTTTATTTTTTTAATTTTCATACAAAATAAATTTTATAAAATCCGATTTGTATGAAAAATAAAATAATTAAAATGAAGATATCAATTAAAAAATTATGACCATGTTAAAATGGGCTAGTGTCGGCTCATATACCCATTTACCTAACACCCTGTATAGCTAGGTGGCTTGCGCAAGAAAAAGGAAAGATTACTTCAATGTTAATAAACTCCAATGAAGAGATATAAAGGTAAATAAAAAAGAACATAATGACGCAGCCCTGAAGAAAGGATAACAACCTAAGGAAAGTGATACAGTGAAGGTTACGGAAAGGGCATCAGTCCACGACAAAGTTGATTTACTCGCACACGCAAACTACGAGTATCTTGTTATGGGTTAAGTAAAATACACGTGTTGACCGCGTCGAGGAAATAAATACTCGATAAATGCTTCAGGAGTATGTTTTACTTTTCTGTCAACATTACTATTTGCTCTAGTCAAATGTTTGTGTCATCTTCGCTAGTACAAGGTTGTATAGTTACGTCCACGTTAAGACAAATACCAATTTTTCTAACAAAATTAAATAAAGCCAAATCATTGACACCGAGTTGTATATGTCCAGAATGATATCAGGAAAAGTTAGTAAGCAAGTAACTTATCATCGTTGATTGCAACGTAAAGCAATACCTGGCCATAAACAAAATAAGAAGAATTAAAGCAATATTATGTACCTTTTTTGTCAGGAAATGCATGAAATTGCATGACCACTAGTTCGGGGGAACCAGTGGGTTATGTAAGGCTCTCCCTGCCAGAGGGACAGGGCTTACTAAAACCTAACGGTGTCCTCCAAAGTTTTTGGTACGGAACTGCGAGTAATTGTCTGTGCTTCTTACTTATTCTGAGACATCCTGACACGGTTTAATCTCTGATAAAAAATACCAGTCCTCTGAAGTCTATTTCATTTACTTACAAAGACAGATGTTACTGGCGGTGACTATACGTATCTTTTCTCACGTTAACGCTAAGCTCATGCGTGAATGTATTTTTTAATGATCATAATTTCAACATCCACCGCACGCATTTAGGCTTTCTAACGGAGTTTTTTTATTAGGAGGCAAATCACTTCATTG